CGAGGGAAAAGAGGAGACCCAATGATACAGAAAGGGGGAAAAAGAAAGGTCTCATGAGAACACGGGGTGGTGGAGAAAAGAAGCGAATATTTAAGAATGGACCCGAAAGAAGAGAGAGAAAAAAAAACGAAGGAAAGAAAAAGAAAAAAGAAGGAAAGAGAGAGAAGAAAAGAGTGAAGAGAGGGTGCGAGAGAGCGCTGGCCCCGAGGCGAAATCGAGAGGACGAGACGGCCCAACGAAATGTGAATAGAGAAGAGAACGGCAGTGCCTCTGAGCCATGTTCAGAGGCCTCGTCTCCGCCCCAAAATTGCAAAACGTCCGCGTCCCGCCCGTCGAAATCGAACTTTACATGAACTTTTTGATCCCAAAGACTTTTTCTAGTCGATCCACTGGGGGATTTCGAATAAGATTGGGTCATTTTTTTTCGCAAATCTTGACGCGAAAATACGTCAGCGCTTTCAAAAATCTGAGAACCGGATGTAAATCAACTGAAGTTATTTCCGATGTATCTACAGTTTAATTGTTATCAGTAACCTTTGGAGGTGTTCAAAGGAGCAGAGGAGGCTTTTTAAAAGTCTTGAAGGGGAGAAGCCTATTTCAACTGGAAAAATGCGTCAGAAATATTGAAACATCGACAATTTTTCGAAAACTGCGGGGTCCTTACCGTCGAAATTGAACTTTACATGAACTTTGTGATCCCAATGACTTTTTCTAGTCGATCCACTGGGGGATTTCGAAAAAGACTGGGTCTTTTTTTCGCAAATCTTGACACCAGATGACCTCAGCGCTTTCGAAAAACTGAAAAAATCTTCAAAAAAAGGGAAAATTTTAAAGGTCATGAAGGGAAAAGCCTAAACTTTGAAGAAACAGTAAAGAGCAAGACATACCCAGGTGCGTCAGAAATATTGAAACACCCAAAACTGCACGGTTCTTTCCGCCCAAATGGAGCTTTAAATGAACGTTTTGATCCTAAATATTTCTTCTAGTCGATCCAATGGGGGATTTCAAAAAAGACTGGGTCATTTTTTCGCAAATCTTGACGCGAAAAGACGTCGGCACTTTTTCATGCGTCAGAACTATTGAAACATCGACAGTTTCTCCCAAACTGTGCGGTCCTTACCGCCGAAATCAGACTGTACATAAACTTTTTGAACTCTATTTTTATTTTTATTTTTTTATCGAGCTGGGGATTTTGTATAATAATAGGTCGTTTTACAAAAAAAAATCTGAAGAGAATCTGAAAATGAACTGAGGTAGTTTTTGCTGTATGTAAAGTATCCGTTCCCAGGAACTTTCGGAGGCGTTTAAAGGAGCAAAAAGACAAATTTTATGGATAATGAGGGGGAAGACAGATTCTTCAAAGAAAAAAAGTTGACACTACCAAAGTGCGTCAGAATAACTGAAACATCAGCAGTTTCTCCAAAACTGCGCGGTCCTTACAGCCGAAATCGAACTTTACATGAACTTATTGATCCTAAAGTTTTTTTCTAGTCGATCCGCTGGAGGATTTCGTATAAAATAAGTCAATTTTTTGAGGTGTGACGAGTAGATTCTTTGAAAAACATACTTAGGGTCCGCAAGCCATTTCTTCAGAACGATTCAAAAAATATGTTTTTTACATCGTTCGATAGAGGAGACTGTCCATTTTCATAATCCGTTTAGTTTTTGAAAAAAGCTCCACTAAGAAAAAAGTTATGGCCAAAAAACTAGCGCGCGCGGCGTACAACTGGAGGCAAAAATCTCACGGTTTACCCGCTGCCGCACGCTTTCTTTTTAAATGTTTTTTTGCGCGTTTCTGGACCGTTTTTTTAAATCGGTTTTCTGTTCTGAGAGGTTGTCCGAACTGAGCCTCATGTTTTGGTATGAAATCTTTTGTACAATCCTCATAAGAATTTTTTTGATAAAATATCAAAAAAACTACCTAGAAAAAAAGGTCAAAGGGATTTTTTTCAGCTTATTTTTTTCTTTTTTTCTACTCAGAAAAAAATTATTATCATTCGATTTGGAAAAAAAGAAAAAAATGAAAAAAATAATGTTATTTCGAAATAAAACAGGAAAAAAGTGCAATTTGACTCCGAAAAAAACGGCTCCTGCGACATTTAAAAAGGGCGCATCGGTGTGTTTGACGCAAACACTGCTACGGACACTTGCACGAAATCTTCCAGAATTTCAAAAAAAATTGCCATTTTTTCGAGGTTTTCAAAGCCGTTATTTTTTTCGCGTCGATCGTTTTTTTTCATAATTTTTTCATTGATAGAGTTTTGAACGCTTAATAACATAATCAAAAAGTATAGACGCGATCCTATTCTCTCATGCGTCAACAAGGCAGGCGAAAAAAATGGAGGTTTTGGTAAAAACTCAAATATAATTTGATTCGCTGTCCCAATAATTGTTTTCATTTTGAATTTTTTTATTTTTCGGACACACTGTTAGTTTTTTTAAATCAAATAAAAAGTATAACATGTCGCTGAAATTTTTTTCGCATTTCAGCTTCAAAGTTTGGTGTCACTTTACAAGCTTTTAATATTTTTTTCGCGTCGGTAGATTTTTTTCATTTTTACTCAAAAAATAAAGAAAGTTTTAATGTATAACATACTTAAAATTTAGAAGCGTTCCTCACTTGGTTTTCAGAAACGCGACGATTTTGTGAAACTTGTCAGTTTTTTTCGTGTTAAATCTTACTTTTTTTCGCTTACTTTTTGAAAAAAATACATAGTTTTAAAAAAATATTCAGTCTTGTAGAGCGTTGTCGATTACATAGATTAACAGAAACAGTTAATTTTTAAAGTGGGACTTTAACTAGTATAAACGCCTCAAAACCGTTTTTGCAACAAAAAAATCGTCATTTTGGTGGCGTGAAGGGGCGGGGCTTTGTGCCCCCTAAACATACTAGAAACAATTTTCAAATGGAGTTTTTGGACGAAAAGTTTACGAAGACATCCCCGAGGTGCGTCAAAAATATTAAAACATAGAATTTTTTTTTCAAACTGCGCGGTCCTAAAGTTCAAATCGTACTTTATAGTAACTTTTCGATATCAATAACGGTGATCTACATTATTCCTTAAGGGATTCTAAATTATTTTTGAAACTTTTTGACTTTTTTGGATTCAGTTGAAAGGCTTTTCCCAAGCTAATCTATTACTTTCGGACCGTTCTCAGCTCAATGATGGATTTTTAAAAAATGTTTGGATGACCAATGAAATATTTTACATTGGTTCCGATTCTGTGCTCAAAGTTTTTCCTAGAGATTTGCGAAAAAAACGTTATGAGATCTCAGGAACGAATTAGAAGAGTACAGCCAAGCCCTGCAGAGCCTGTAGATAAATTTTTAAAAATATCTTGAAGATTTTTTTTCTCAAATTTTATCCTATACGTTTACTTTTGTGCTCGAATTAAGACACAGCAAGAAAAATAAGGCTGATTCATCGTCTCACTTTGATAAAGATGTGTTATGGGAAATCAGAAGGTATATTTTTTAAAGCTGCTTTGAATAGATTGTGGACCAATTTAAATCATTGAAAGAAAAAATACGACAACTGTAAGAATACGAAAACTCTGAGCTTTAGGTCAACTTTTAAATCTCATAACTATTTTTCTTCAACTCAATTTCGAAGCAGAATGAACCAAATTCCGCGAAATCCTTAACTGAGACAAGTTTATGAACTTTTTCACTTTATGAATATGAAGAAAAATTCATTGAAAGTGTGAATTTAAGGCAAAATTTTGCCTGTCATGAGTATTCGGAGACCATTTTGATTTTTTATTTGGTACTAATTGGTCGTAAACTTTCCCTGTTTTAAAAAAATTTATTATACTTTAAAATTAGATATTCAGAAGGCAATAATAACACAAAAAAGATGGATAACTTGAAGAATACAATGAAAATAACAAACTGAAGTTTACACGTCGACAGCAACGAGATCCGTTAAAATAACAAAGTTCGGCCAAATTTCAGTTAAAGTCCTAGCTTAGAAGATAATATTGGTAACAAATGAGAAAAAAAAATAATGAGGAAAACCTTATAATAATTGAAAACGTTGGATGACCTCAATGCAAAATAGACTTGTCGGCCTTGCGCAGGTCTCGTAGCGATAAAGAGAAAATCACCCAATCTACTGTACGTCGCCTTTTTGCCAGCGTTTGAAAATTTTTTTCATTTTCTTTTTGTTTCGTGTTTTTATAAAGTCTCACTTTCAGTTAGTTGAAAATTGTTTTTGTTTTAAGATTCTAGAGCTGGGGAAGTATCTTAAACATTTGGAGCTCTGTTGTCACTTGTTTTCTGTTTCTCGTAGGATGTATTTTTATTTTTATTTGAGATCCTTCTCTAAAAGCTGTTCTTTCCTTTTTATTTTTATTTTCTCTCACTTGAGTTATGTAACAGAAGTACTAGTTAATATTCTTGACAAAGCAAATTTACTTACATTTTTCTTTTATTGATAGTTTTTACCGAATTTATAATTATTGTTTTTCTTTTTTTTGATCAATTCTGGAAGGTTTTCTAGCGTTTTCTTGTTTCAATTTGTTTCAACTTAGTTCATTATTCATTAAGAATTGGTGAACAACTTCAAACGATGTATTTGACCGAAAAAAAGGAGGCACGCCAGATTTTTCGCGATTCTTATAATATTTCTCAAATTTAATAATTTTTCGGAGCGAGCACTTCATTTGTTGATCATATTGAGCTTAACTGAGATACTAAGCATCATTTTTTTTCCTCAAAACGTATGAAAGAAGAGTTGATTTTCCACGTATCAGTTTTAACTATCAAAAAAATTGTTATTTAACAACTTTTTTTGAACGAATTGATATTCTTAGACTACATTCGATTTTTTTAAGGTTTTTTTACTCAACTCTTATGCTTAGTATTACCATATTAGCGGTAACATAAAACAAGAAAGTCCTCCAAACTGTGCCCTTGAACTTTTTTTTTTCTTCCGCCCATTTCTCATGCCCCTGCATATAACTATAATTCATCCGTATAACCCAAACTTATTTCAGCAATGTCTTTCCGTGGTAACAGAGGTGGCGGCGGTGGTTTCCGAGGTGGTCGTGGAGGCGGCGGCGGTGGATTCCGCGGCCGAGGTGGCGGCGGCGGTGGCGGAGACCGTTACAACCAAGGCCCGCCAGAAGAAGTCATCGAAGTCGGCTACTTCACGCACAGCTGCCAAGACGACATTGTCTGCCACACGACATGTGGAAAAATACCCTATTTCAACGCTCCTGTTTATTTTGAAAATATGGAACAAATTGGCAAAATCGACGAGATCTTCGGCTCTCCCGGTGAAAACGTTAGTTTTCATTATATTGCTCTCAAAAATGTTGTTTGATTGTGCGAATCTTTGATAGTTTCTTCATGTGCATTTGACGTAGGCCGAAAAATGAATGATATTAATCTTATTGCCCTTTTTTTCTGCCTTTTTGCAAATGTATTTTTGAATTTGAACTATAGAAAGTGTCAAAATTTTCAGAAACCCGTTAGGAAACTCACAAAATTCGTAAATGTATTCAGGAAAGTATAGAACACAAAAAAAAGAATAATAATTAGAAAATATTTTTGCAATATTTTTCAGGGGTTTTCTGTAAATCTATCACAAGGCGTCAAAGCCTCATCTTTCAAAGACGGACAGAAAATTTTTATTGATCCCGCCAAGCTCCTACCTGTCGAGAGGTACTGTTACCACTTTAAACTCACTTATTTTAAAGTTTGTTTTTTCAGATTTTTGCCCCAAGCTGGAGGAGGACGAGGAAGAGGGCGCGGCCGTGGTGGAGATCGCGGCGGACGAGGTTTATTTCAAAATAAAAAAATAAAATCAATTAAATATGATTTTAAGGTGGAGACCGAGGTGGCCGAGGAGGTCGAGGCGGATTTGGTGGCGGAGACCGAGGCCGTGGTGGCGGCGGTAAGCTACAGTTTCATAGAGATTTCGGAATAGCGTAACCATCAAAAATGTCCATCTTTCGTGCTTTTAGTGTTGAATGGGAGTGGATTTTGGATGTTTTTGGGGGCTGTGACCTCATTTCTGGTCCTTTTTTTCGTGATATTTAGTTCAGTTTTGATGCTTTAGTTTCATACGTTTTTTGTGCGCTTTCGGATTATTTTGAAAACTTTTAAGCAAAATGTCTTTCAAGATGATTTTTTTTTCAAGTATTCCCCTAAAACTCTTCAGATTTTTCCTATTCATAACCTGAATTTCATTTTGAGAAGGTTTATGGTTAGGAACAGGAAAAACCGCAGATTTTCATTTTTTTTTTTTCACTCGTTTTTCATGATTATCAAAGGCTTGGTGCAGTTTGAAGCCAAATATTATGGGTAGACAAATTTTTGAATCAAGATTCTACAGGAAAATTGTTTTCCATTAGAAAAAAGAAATGAAAAAATCTCGAATTTCAGGATTCCGAGGCGGTAGTCGCGGAGGATTCGACCGTGGAGGCGGCCGAGGCGGTGGCTTCCGCGGAGGTGACCGGGGAGGCTTCAGAGGCGGCGATCGTGGCGGATTCCGAGGCGGAGACCGGGGGTCTCGAGGCGGTGATCGAGGTATTTTTATACAATAATCGTGTTTTTTCTGAAAATTATCCTTTCAGGAGGCTTCAAACGGCCATTCAATGGTGGCGGCGGCGGCGGTAATTTCAATAAGAGGACTAAGTTCGATGACTAATTTCTGTTTGTTTTGTTTTCAAGTTGTTACTCCATTTCTCCTTGTTGTTATTTGTTGACGATGTTGCTTGAATATTAAACATTTTATGAGAGAAATAAGTTGTTTTTTAACATTTGCCGAAAAGATCCTGGTAGGCAGGGCAACCGAATCCGCCGACGGCGATCAAATCGTAGAAACTGCCCAGAGAATCCTGGATCCCGCGGACAATCGCGCCCAGCGCGTCCGTCGTTTCCAGGACTTCGCACTGAGAATTTTCGAAAATTAAAGTAAATTTAAAAATTTAGCGAACAAAGTTTTGATTGATGATGATGCAGGCGGCGCTCAGGGCATTGACGAAGTCGCCAATGATCGGAGATTGCCAGATTCCTGGAAGAATTTATGCTAGGATACTGTATAAATCGTTACTGAACCCTTTTTTGATAGGTTTTTGAGTTTCTGAGCTGCTAGAGAGCCTTAGGAGACCATAAAAAGTCGGTTTTCAGTAGGTTGAAACCATTGAAATCAATACATAATCGATCCGAAAAAAATCCGTTGTTTTAATTCAAAAAGTAGCGTCACACACCGAACTGATTCTTAAACCCTGTCTTTCATGTTTCAGCGATTTGTTATAAATTAACTTAATGACAAAAAAAAATGCTCCGGAGTCTCCCCCATCTATTCTTCTCATTTCTTGTCCTGAAATTGAATGAAAGAGTCGAAAAACCTGTATTGAAATACAGAAGGACGTCATAAACCAGCACGCAAATCGTGCATTGGACGCTCGCATCGTTCGAATTTATCACGACGTGTTTTTCGTCTGAAAAAAGAAAATATAAAAGTTTAGAAAATCTTGCTAGGATGTTTAAGGTTAAATAAACGGTGAAAGTGGTTTTCGCTTCGAGACTTTTTTTTGTATTTCGCCCTATGCTCCTTTGAAAAATGTACCGTGTGCGCACTTTTCGGTCGCCTCTTTCAGGATAACTTTGATATTTTTGAACTTGTCCTCGACCTCGTTCAACGCCGGATACAGCACGGCGACGATCTGGATATTGTTATTCTTCAAATGTTTATATGAATAAGAAAACCTGACAATCAGTTAGTTGACTTTTGCAACCGCTGAACCTGGTGCAGTGGGTAATAGAGGCTGAAATATTGTTTAACTAAAAAAATTAGGAAGTTCTAAAAATATTCAAAAACTGAACAAAAATCGAAAATTCAGTTATGAGTTTTAAAGAAATGAATGATCCTTTAAAGGCGCAGGGCGGGGTCATTTTTTCTTCAGGGAAACTACCTGCGCCTTTAAAAGATTCTAAATAGACTAAACCATTCAAAGCTGGCTTGAGTCAAAATAAATAAAAAAACGTCTAATTTTATTATTTTCCTATATAATCACCTGAAACTCATGGTGAATGAACCACAATTCACTGAGATAGTGTGGGAAAACAGGAGGTTAAGATATATAATACTTAGGAACTCCATAGTGGTCCCTATAGGAAAAGAGCTTTTTTTGAATTATTATCAAAAAAGGGTAAATCGATTATTTTCAACTTTTTAACTCTAAGATTGATTACAAAACTGATAGTCCCCTTATATCGACTTTGCCCCCTTTAGGGATCACTTCCAAATTTTTAAACTGGTGCTACCTCAAGTTAACCCCAACTTCACTTAAGTGATCGCTTAGAACTGTCCGAAAGGACACCCGGGGCTCAACCCTTGGTTTATACCCATCTTCCGTCATTTTTGACCCAATCCAGCAGTGAACGGACTACATTTCCAAACCATCTCTGGTGGCTCCAGTGTGAGCCGCCGTCGCGAATCCGAAAAACTGGCAAACGGCGCATTCCAACGAGAGTTTCTCCTGCACGGCCAGCTGCTCCGAAATGGGATTAGTGGCCACTAGAGGGACGAGAAGAAGAATAGAGAAAATCATGGTCTTTTTGGCTTGGAAACGGACAGAGGCAACAAAATTTGGCCTTATCACGAGCTTATCAGTTCGGAAACGAGGCTTCATGCCGTTTGTTGCTGTGAACGTTTATTTCATATAATTTATCATTTGACTATAATACATGCGAAAAAAAGTAAATCAAAAGAAAAAAATAAGTTAACGATTAATAATGGAAGAATGAACCCAGGAAACCATAAAACGGGGATTTTGGAAAAATTGAGCCCTTGAAGGAATATTCAAAAAAAGTCATTTTTTTAAGTTAAATTCTATAAATTATTGAAATTATAATCCACCTATTAACCTGCCACCTCATAACTTGTCAAAAAATTCGTTGGATTTTTATTTTCTGCGCACTTCTTTTTTAATCGCTTCGAAACCTTCTTAATTAAAAACACAATGATCCTTTAATATCGTGGCAAAAAATTATCCATGGAGCTCAAAAGTTCGATAATACCGCGGCTATTTCTTCCCATTTCTTTCAAAATATTGAAAAGTGTCGATTTCTTCGTGTAAACTCTCTCATTTTTGCATAATCTCTCACCAACTCTTCCAATTTTTTTGAAATTGCTCCTCTAAATTTTGTGACAAGTTAGTGGTGAAGGAGTATTCAGAAATCGGAAAAAAAAAATCGTTAAAACCCCTAAAAACCGACTATATCACAACCTTTTCTTACAATCATTGATGAAACCCCCAAATTTAGTGCTAAAGCCATTTTAGTTATAAGGATTGCAACAAAATCAGGAAAACAACGGGAATAAAGCTGAAAAACGATCAATAATAAAAATCACCAAACAGAAGTGAAAAGGTACATCAATCCCTTGGCGTAATCGATGATTTCCTGGCTTCCGAGCTTGGATTCGCCGAAAAATCGGTCGACAAAAGTTATTGGCACCTCGCCAATGCGATAGCCGGCTTTTCGAGCTCGGAACATCATTTCCATCTGAAATTTCGAGATAAAAACGAACTGAAGAGGTTTTTTTTGGGATTTTCTATTTTGCGAGATTTCGAAGTCTTTTAAATCAGTTTCGAAGCATTTAATGTACAAAAAAAGACAAAATTTTCAGGGTTCTTTTGTTCTTCCGTTCTAAAATCCATTTAACTTTATCTTGATAAGATTTTGAATAAAAATATTTGCAGAATGAGCGAAAATAATGCGGAAGCTCATGTCCAAATATAACCTTTCTAGTGCGAAATCTCATCTTTTTCATATCAGATTCCATTTTTTTCATACTTTAAGTTAACATTTAAAACAGAAAAAAATGTTAGACTGAGACAATACTGAGAATAAAAATCAAGAAAAAAAAGCTGCTCTCCTATAACTTTCTTCAAAGAAGCACTATCTCATTATTTATAAAAACTTGGTATCCTTAAAAAAAGGCTCAAAAAAAAAAATCGACATCTCCCTAAAACAAATCCCAGATCCCTCACCTGAAAAACGTATCCCTTGCTGACGCTTTCCGCGATCAGTTTGGCCAAAATCGCCTTTTTATAAAGTCGAAAAGAGCCGGTCAGATCGGAAACCCCGGGACGGAGAAGGAACTGAAAAATATTATTGAAAAGAATTTCAGGACCAAAAAAACCTGAGCAAGGAAATTGGCGCCTTTGCTTATGACTTTCCGGCGCAAATCCCAGCCAGAAACCCCTCCAGTGCCCACGTATCTCGTCCCCGTCACAATATCCAACTGAATTCATGAAAATTGTTCGCATTTTCAACAAAATGGTGTGAAAAAGCAACAGAAATGTCTAAAAATTCGAAATCTTTGCTCGAAAATGCTTCATAAAAGTGCTAGATTCGGAATTTCGGAGAAATTTAGCTTCATTTCAAAACATTTTTCTCAACTTTAAGTATCATATCTTGTTAATTGAGAGACGAAAACCCCTTAAAAGTCAAAAAATAATGTTCTAAACAGCTCCAAAATGAATTTTCTCTGTTACGAAGCCGTTTTTCGAAAGTTTTTTGAAACAAGTTTCATTTTCTCGGATAAAATCGCTTCAAAAATTCAGATCATAGTGTATCAAGTTCCGATTTTAAAGATGGAACATGTCTAAAATGTCTCAAAAACACGATTCCCTCATTTCTGAGTATATTTTCAAGGATTTTGCCATTTTAGCCATCAAAAACGCCTTCCAGTTTTCTCTACACGCTTTTGATTGAAAATGAAAAAAAAGTGGCTAAAACGCTCCAAAAGGTACAATTATCTATTTCTAGGCATTTTTTTAATATTAAGAACTCCTTGATTTCCTTTCTCGATCACCTTGTATTTTTTTGTTGCAAGGCGATCATTTCTGGAATGAATTTGGGGTGATGCGAGAGATCGGCGTCCATCAAGATGATGAAACTGAAATCAGTTGTAAAGAATGATAACTTATTTATTTTTCAATCAAAATCTAAAAAAAACTCACTCGCCACTCGCGTGTTTCAAACCATGGACATAGGCGGTCCCAAGACCGAGTTTTCCTTCTCGGGGCCTCAAAAGAATTTTGTCCGCTCCATATTCGGCCTGAAGCTTTTCAGCAACTTTCAGTGTGCCGTCCGGGCTTCCGTCGTCGATTACAATGATCTGAATGAATTAAAAATGATTATAATTAAAGTGAAGAAATTTTCAATTTTTTCGTCGACCGTTGCCTTGAAAAACATAATATTCTTAAACATTTTGAATTGAGAAAAAGAAAATCGAAGATTTAAAAATAAAAAATACGAGTTTCGAGTATTTTCTTTTTAAATTTAATCTTTCTTAATAATTAAACGGCACCGGGAGCACCAGATGCCACTTGCGTTGGCCTTCGTCGACTACTACAAGGCATTCGACAGCGTGGAGATCAACGCCGTCTTGAATGCTCTTGCCTCCGCCGGAGTCGCCACGAAGTACGTCGAGCTGATCGCCAACAGCAACGAGGGAACGTCCACGACCATCCAGCTGTTCGACAAGAAGCTTTCGATCCCCATCAGGAAAGGTGTTCGCCAGGGAGATACCATCTCCCCAAGTTGTTCTCCACGGCACTAGAAGACGCGATGCGCCAACTTGGATGGGACTAAGAGCACGACTGGGAAGACAGTACAGACATCAGAGGCATCAACATCGACGGCAAGGTCCTCACAAACCTCCGCTTCGCCGACGACATCGTACTCTTCTCAAGCTCCACCACCGAACTTTCCTCTATGCTGAACGATCTGGACGAAGTCGGCAAGAAGATCGGCCTTAAGATGAACGTCAAGAAGACGCAGTGGATGAAGAACCGCTTCTGCGACCAAGGCAAAAGTCACCCTTGAGGGCCGCGACCTTCAGGAGGTCACATCCTACATCTACCTTGGCCGGGAAGTAAACATGGTGAACGACCTGCAAGCAGAGATCGGCAGACGCAAACGCGCTGGATGGGCCGCCTTCAACTCCATCAAAGAAGTCACCAGTCAGCTGAAAGACCCGAAACTGCGAGCTCACATCTTCGAAGCGTCGATAATCCCTGCCATCTCCTACGGTACCGAAGTTTGGCCTGACACGAAGAAAAATGCAACCGCCCTACGAACTTCCTACCGCGCACTGGAACGTGCTCTCATCGGCACCACTCGCTTCGAGCAGTGGAAAAAAGAACAGAGGAGCACAGACCTCCGTCAACTATCCCAAATCCGGGATCTAGAAGAGCACATACAACGCGGGAAACATCGTTGGGGCGGCCACGTCATCCGCAGACAAGACGACCGCTGGTCCACGAGATTAACACACTGGATTCCGAGAAACATCAAGCGCCCACCGACCAGATGGACGGACTACTTCCGCAAGAACATCAGTCAGCCAGGCCGCCACTGGATGACCGTCGCGCAAGACCGAGCCGCCTGGAGAACGTGTGGTCCACGCTGAGAACATCAGCGAAGATGGACCATCAAAGTATCAAAGTATCAAAGTAATAATTAATTCCCTTTGTAAAGTCTGCTTCAAAAAAAGTCATTAACAATAAGATTTTCTTTTTTGAAAATAAAAAAACTTGCCTCGTAATCAATATCCTTGAGATACTTATCAATAAGCCAGACGCAAATCGGCAAATTTTCCACCTCATTGTAGGTTGGCAGGATTATGGAATACTTTGTCCCCTGTGACATCTAAAAATAAATAATGAAACGAAAATCATTTTATGAAAAATATAGTATTGCGCGAAACGCTTTTTTTAATGAATGAATCAAACAAAAATCAAAAAAAGTTCATTAGAAAAAAACAAGAAACAAGACTACCATTGAATCTACTAGTATAATATACAGTTTCAATCTCTACAGATTCAATTTGACGATTTGGTTTTTTTTGTAGAAGGTGCATCGAAAAACTTCATGTATTCACCGGCGTCGAAGTTATCGTCAATGTTTTCCTGGAAATTCACACTTTCAACAAAAGAAACTTTGAATAAAACAAAACCTGGACAATTTTCTTCGCCTTTGGTTTCCTGGCGGCCAAACGTTGCCTTCGCTCATCTTCACTCAACTGCTTGATGTCGATTGCGGATTGGAAAACCTGAAAAAGTACTTCTCAAAAAATAAAAATGAAAAAATCACCTGTCTCGGCTCACTGGATGGTACCATAATAGTTGATCCATCTGGTCTAATCAGCCGCACTTGAAACCGTTTCAAGTATTCCTTCCGAGATACCTTTCCCAAGCTTGCTCGCCACGCATTTTCTCGCACTGAAGACCGTTTGAATCAATTTCGTGACAAAGAAAAAAGCTTACCTTGAATCGAGATGCAAGGGACACATTTCCAATGCAACGCTGCGTTTAGTAACACCCTGTTTGGAAGGAGCATATCGAAACTGAAAGATTCAGGTTTATAACGTGGTATAGAGCAAACAATTGTATTAAACACATTAACAAGACTCAAGTTTGAAATTAGCCTTATTCAAATTTTTAAATTTATTCTATTTCCCTCAAAAACACCTTATGGAAGCTCGTTTGTTTAATAAACGATGATGGCGAAGAGCGGTTTTCCGTATCACCTTAGACTATGCAATTTTTTTGATGTATACAAACATCCTAGCAAAGGAATTTCAAAAAAAGTCATTGGGAATAAAGTTACGAAAATAAAAAATGAAAAAATTGAACAAAAAGTGCGTGAATTGCGCTTTTGGTGCATTCGACCGCAGAAGAAGAATACAGTAAGACCGGAAAAATATGTCGAAAAAAATTGCTCATATTGTTTTTTTTTTCTTTCACTCTTTTTTTCTCGTTTCAATTCAAAGTTTTAATTGATTTAAATTTATTTTTGAAAAGTTTATGAAACGAATATTACCTTTTGTTATTCTAATGGTCCAGTTAGACTAGTTTTCATTTCACCAAATCGTTCTAATTCAATAGCATAATACATTTTTTTTTATCCATTAAAACTGTTTTTTTGAAGGTTTTTTATCTGGCGACAAGTTTGAGCGTTTAATAATGGAGGAGGAAGAAGAACTTGAGAAGGTGAGTCGAACCTTTTTGACATATTTTCTTTTTCTTTTTGTTAAACTTTTTTTTAGAGTTTTTTTTGAGAAATTTTCCTGTATGTCAATGAAGGATGCGGTTCGAAGTACTTTGAAAAAATTTTTCCCCCTGGAACAGTAAGATTCAAAATTCCTGACAAGTTGAAGAATAATTTCGCCTTTTCAGTTCGGTGATGAGAACTCCAGGCATCATTTTTCAAACTGATTATTCCATCACTGGGCTTCTATCGGTAAGGTTCCAATTTTTTTAAATTAAAAAGATACGAAAAAGTTTTAAGGAAGATAAGTTCCTGGATTTGGGCGCGGAAATTGTGAATAATTGTCGAGGTAAGAAAAAAAGATCAAAAAAATTCTAATAAAAAAATTACTTTTTTTAATACAATTGGAAGATTAATTTTTAGCTGATACCCTCTTTGAACGGTTTGAAGACCTCGAGAGGCTGAAAAAGGGAAATGAGAAAAATCCATCGGACTTGAAATCAAAGGTTAGTCTGATAAAAATGTCGCCATTCAGAGCCTTTTTACAGAATCTTTCTGTGTTTTTATTTTCATACCGACGTTTCTAGAATTGATTTGCCAAGTACATTAACATTTTTCAGACCCCGACCGAGCAAAATGAAAAGATTATTCAAGACCTTTTGTCGAATATTCTGGACATTCTCGATCTCGAAGACTTGTACGACGGCTTCCCCACCGGAAATTCCCAAAAAGTGCCGGAATGGTACAGAAATCGGATCGACCGAGCTGTCGGAAACGCGCAAGCCAGGGTCGATCGTCTGAATTTTCAGGCTTCGATGCTCAAAAAGAGCGATGAGCTGGTGGCTTCGTTGAGGAAATCGAGGGCTTTTGTGGTCAGTTTTCGAAAAAATTCAAGACCTTAGCTATGTGAAGTAATGCCCCTGGCAGAGGCCAGAGACGAAGGGGAAGACCGCCTCCTACTTATAAAAGGCAGGGACGATCTTCAGCTGGGTCGAAATCCTCCCGGCCTGAGGTCAATCCCTCGATTCCTATATTGATTATATAATATTTTCTATTCGACTAATGAATTTATTCTAATATAATCAGTCTATATTCGACCACATCGAAACTACCGATGGAGTCTCGGCATGGCCAAGCCGAGGACTCACAGCTATATTGTAGACTTTTGTATGGAATTAGAGTCACTAGGAGCAGTTTTTCAAGCTGAATTAAAATTAAGCTTGAAATGTTTTTAGGAGGTCGGTGGAATGAGTTAAGGGCCTTAAAGTTGGAATAATTACGATTGAACTTCTTTTGATTACTTTTCAACAAAAAAATTCGAGCTTCTCAACTCAAATTTAGATTTTTATATGAAAATGGGGTCATTAGTTTTTTCAACTAATTCTAAAAATGTGCCTAAAATTTGCCTGGGAGGTCTGTGAAATGGTTTATAGATCTTGAAGGTGGCAAAAATTAAATTGCGCCAATTTTTCTTAGAAGAAGATGGTGCTTCGTAATCTCGGAAAAACAACAGTTTCTTCAAGAAAAAAAATTAGTCAGGATTTGATTTTTCCTTTGCTGATGGGGGAGCATGCCTCTCATGGTCCATAGCGGACTTCTTTAAAATTTTGAAGTGATCATAACTTTTTTTTTACAGATCTTTTCAGATAGTCCTGAGCGCGGACTTGGAATTAGCGACAAAAACTGCTCCTAGTGAAATTGATCATTTTAAAATACAGTTTAACAAAATTTTGAATTTATCCGTCGAGTTAGATCATGACTTTACTTGGAAATCATTTATCTTAGTCTGTTTCCGCCTGTAACCTGGAATAATATACCTTTTCACTATATAAGGTCGAAAAACCATTCCTTTTCACTTTGAAAGTCTGCCTTTTATGAATTTTCTAGCCAAAGAATAAGAAATCCCCTTTCAGAGAGAGGAACAGTACTACAAGCACAACTGTAACAGGGATCCGGAAATTTATCAAGTGCAGGAGTATGAAGAGACTTTCGTCCTCCGGAAGGACTGTTTGAAAGCGAGTTGGTCCGACGGACTCTTGCAAATCGTCTACAAAGAAGACCTCGACGCCTACTTCAAGATGGTCGTCCGCGTCTTCAAGGACCACCGGAGATATTGCCGTTTTGGCGAAGATTCTTGTGACTTTATTCGCATGTGTCCCTTTCACGCCAATATCAAAGTCGACTCCCTGAAACACGCCAATTTTTTTCACTTCGCTGTCGCCTGCAACAAATACAGGGTAGGTGGTTTAAAGGCGCATAGGGTTGAAAGGTGTCAAAAGTAGAGCGTAGGTGGTTTAAAGGCGCAATGAGTACTTGGTAGGCTGCTTACATGCGCAAAAAGGACAGAGTAGGTGGATTAAAGGCGCAACAAGTAGACGGTAGCTGGTTTAAAGGAGCATAGGGTTGAAAGGAGCAAAAAGTAGAGCGTAGGTGGTTTAAAGGCGCAATGAGTACTTGGTAGGCTGCTTACATGCGTAAAAAGAACAGAGTAGGTGGTTTAAAGGCGCAACAAGTAGACGGTAGCTGATTTAAAGGCGCATAGGGTTGAAAGGTGTCAAAAGTAGAGCGTAGGTGGTTTAAAGGCGCAATGAGTACTTGGTAGGCTGCTTACATGCGCAAAAAGGACAGAGTAGGTGGATTAAAGGCGCAACAAGTAGACGGTAGCTGGTTTAAAGGCGCATAGGGTTGAAAGGTGTCAAAAGTAGAGCGTAGGTGGTTTAAAGGCGCAATGAGTACTTGGTAGGCTGCTTACATGCGTAAAAAGAACAGAGTAGGTGGTTTAAACGCGCAACAAGTACACCATAGCTGGTTTAAAGGCGCATAGGGTTGAAAGGTGCCAAAAGTAGAGCGTAGATGGTTTGAATGCGCAATGAGTACGTGTTAGGTGGTTTAAAGGCGCAATCGCCTACTTTTTCGTTTGGTCTGAGGTGCAAAATCGGTCTCAATTTGTATTGAAATGCGAAATTAAAGGCGCATAGCTCTCTTTCAGTTTCTCGAAGCGGCTCTTATCCATTACCGTGACTATTTGAAGGAGGCGCCTCGTGTAGTAATCGAAGAATACGAAGTTTTGCTTTCATTTTTGAATTTGAAGTAGAAGTGAATTTCAGGCTACGTTCAAAGATTTGTTGGGGGACGAGGAATATTTCAAACACTACAATTCATGTTCTCCGTTTTATCTCGCTGCTGAGAGAAGTTCGTTTCGCAAAAAAAAATCATTGAAGAAGGCTATTTTATTAACAGATGCTCGAGAATGTCTCAACGTCTTGTTGAAGTACGATAAGTACTCGGAGATGGTCTTGCAGGAACTACACAACACGATCCAATTGGATCTCAAACAAAGACAGCACACTTTTAAGTCGAACTTTTTGCTCCCGTGTGCGGTGAGTTACATCGAAAGTGGTCAAACCTTCTTACCAGATATTTTTTCTGATTTATGAGAAAAAGAACTATAGAACTCCGTGCTGAGCTTCCTTTGTTATCACAACAACGTGGATTTCTTGAAAACGCCTGGAGGAATGGTACTTTTGAATAAATTCGCTTCTGCTCGAAACCACGAGGAATCCTTGGAGTTCGCAATGAGCGAAGCCGCTTCTACAGGTTTTTGTCCGGAAAGATTTTTGGATACTATGAAAAAAGCGATTTTTCTTTTTTCGAAGAGTACTGTATGAGAAAGTCCGCATTTGGTGTTTGCACTCTACTCAGTGGAAGAACGGAATGCCATCTAAAAATGGAAAGGCAGACCTGCTCGTCAGTTTAGAGAGCATGGTAAAATTGGAGAGACCAGACCGTAAATTTGGCATGGCAGGCCAGCAGGTCCTCAGATTGTGTGTAAAGCGAGGAGAGTACGCGTCTGGTCACTCCAAGTTTACAGTGCTCTCTAAACGGATGCATGTGCGCAGGCCTGCCGATGCCATCTCCGCCTTTTTTCAATGTTTTTTTAAGGTTTATCGAAATTGTTTCCAAATCAATTAAAGAGTTACATCAACTATTCATTCTGATTCATTATAAAACAAAAAATGAATATTTGAAAATGAAAAACGCATTGTGCAAACACGCACGGTGTACACAGAAATCCCCATACAGTACTCTTCGGAAGAGGAGAAAATTGCTCTTCTCGTAGGAACGCTTCGTCAACCTCGAAATTATAAAAAAACTGCAAAGAAGCGGTGTTTTTAGGCCGACTTGAAAGCTCTCTGCGTCTCTCTGTTCCCTCACTAGCGAGGTCAGAGAAGCATGGAAATAGCACGTAAACATAAGAGAGTCGCCGAGAGACGAGGAGGGCGCAGAGAAGTTCCGCCCTTTCAAGTCGCAAAAAACGAACTATATTGATATTTTGGAATATTTGAATACCATGAATCAAGCTGAATATTTACAGGAAGCATTGAAATCGCGAATCATATCTTATCGGAGATCGGGAAGAAGGCCTTTGGTCTAGAAAAGCCCGATTTCAATTTCCTGCATCATTTGTACGCCGGAGGGCACTTCGATAAGGTAAAAAGGATGGGTAAAATCAGGAAATTGGGAAAGTTTTCCGATTCTCATGCGATTTAGACCATTGAATTTGCTCAAAAAAGCTCAAAAAACTTGTTTTTTTGAATTCGATGAACCGATTATGAGTCTTCAAATAGTCTCGAGACATCGACTGTGTGAAGAGACGCCAGAGAAAAAAAAAGTACACTACGACTTCTCTGGCGTCTCTTCGGGCCCAGTTTACCCTTTTTCTGAACTCTATAGTTTTTCGTTCATCTTTAAAGAAAATCGGATCAAGTTACGATTTCGAAATATGCAGAAAAATCGCTTTCTCTATATTTCTCATTCTCCACTGAACTCTCTATGCTCTCTATTTTTTGTGCGGTTTTCATAGTTCTTTGGCCTATCCGATTACGGAAAAGAGAGCGCAGACAGATCAGGCTCGGGATGATATGTTGTTTTTAAACATTGCAAAAAGGACTCCATTCAGATCTCTCAATTGGAAATCGCTAGACGAAGGGTTCTGGATTGGGAAATCAGGCAAGATTATCTCGGAGACCTTCCCATCACCTGGTGCACTTTTTTGAGCGGAGTGAGAAGCTTATCGATCAGAGAATGATAAGAACTTTCCTTTCAAGCCAGAACTCGTGGAAATGTGGCCCAAGCACTCGGACACGACCATTCCTTTGGAGTGGAAACTCAATTTCATCACCGCGACCATTTCTGTTGGCCATGTGTGAGTTTTAGGCGCTTTCTGATGTGAGCTTCTGAATTATATTGATCTTTTCAAATAAAAATAGTTACTGGGTAAACCTCAAAAAACGTTCCGATCGCAGCAAGCTTTTCTGATAGTGCGAAAGTAGTTTCAAGTCGGGCGCGATTCCCAGAAAGTGCATATACGTCGAGCCAATCCACATGCAAACATCGCTTCTAATTTAAAGACAGTTGAATATACTCATGGAAAGTTTTGGTGAAAACAGGCTATTTTTCAATTTTGAGGTTTTCTTTTTGAAAATCTACAAAAAAACTTTTTTCGTTAAGTTTGAGTTCAATCTGGCCTAATTTAATGAAAATCAAGCAAAAATCTAGTCTTTTGCCACTATTTAGATGTCTTTTCAATACAAACGCCGTGTGAAAAAGTGAAATGGCTTGACGGTTTCTTTTAATTGCGGCCAACCTAAAACGACTCTCGCGCGCTGACTTCGGAAAGCTGCTGAATCTTTGATCTTTGCGTCATTTAAATAGCGACCATTTCCGAACGGTCTTTTTTCTATTTTCAGTTGATTTTTCAGAGAAAAGACTTGAATTTTCAAATTTTTTTTTCCAGAGAATTTTCTGTTAACTTCCTCAAGCATCTCATGCAGAAAGCGATGATCCAATGGAGAATGGAGTCGAAAAGCTGTGAGAATTTGGTTGAAACATTTTCTTAATCTCTTAGGCTTTGACAAGGAAGTTTTTTTTTGATTTGAAGTCTGGATTCTCTAAAAAAAAATCTGTCAGGTCAATACTTGTAGAACTAAAACGATAATCTGAAGTCGCGACTTCCAAAATGTCAAGCTGGAAAAAAAAGTCTCAAAATTTTCCATTTTTCAGATTTAAATGATTTTCTTTGCCCCTATCACTCTCAGGAACTAGAAAAATATGAAAGAATATTTGACCAATTTCTAGAACAAGTAAAACTAATTTATTTATAAGAAATAGTATATTTTGTCAGATGAGAGGGCGAATTTTTGAAATTCACTTTTCGTCTCATTTTAATCGTCTCTAGTCATCAGGACTCTTGTAAAATTTTAATTACGTCTCAATTCATCCTCCATTTTTGGAAAAATTCAGTGAATGTAAATCTATGCCCTTCTTGAGGTATTGAAAAATTGATTTTGTCAGATCAGATAAGAAATAATTGAATTTTTTCTCTCATACGAACTTTTGTTCAATCCCGAGTGAATCCCTACTTTCTCTATTTTTGGCGAATTCAGTGGAAGAACTTCCCTGGTCGTGTTTTCCGATGGTCTACGCCGTCAGCACGATGAATCTGAAGCTCTTCGCGATCCTTGTCGAATTGTACACCAAATACAAACAAGCCAACCGTAAGGAGGACGGGACCATGGCTTTCTTGGTTAGTCGGATCAAGGCGACTCTAAATCTCTGGTCGCATGGAGAATGGCTCGGAAAAAATCGAAAAACTTGGGAAAATTTCCAAGCGATATAGTCTGTGTGCCACGACTTGAAATTTCACTGAACGGCATTCCGCTGTTCGGCAGCGTGCGTTCGCGAAGCGTCTTTCGAACCTAGGTCACGCTTTCAATTGATTGTTATTGCTGTGGTAGCACAGGAAAGTAATGTACCTTAATAAAAGAAAATTAAAATTAAAAGCGTGACCAAGGTTCGCAAAGGCGCGCAGCGGCACAGCGGAATGTCGTGGCACACATACTATACAGCGAATAATGAGCAAGCTTCCTTTCATTTTTTTGGTTTTACGCACTTTGAGAATTTTATAAGATACCAGTAGGCTTTATGAAAAGCAAATAGCTCAAAGTTCATTTAATTATCCAACTTTTCGCAAATTTTTAGCCGTATCTCCTTTCATATTTGTTTTTGAAAAACCGGTTTTTTTTTTTGCATGTAATAGTGTTACCTATGAGGCCAGGCGTTTGTACTTTGAAAATAAAAGAAACGTGAACTGAAATTGTAAGGTTGTGTAGTTTCAAGGTTGAGAACTACAGCTAAAAGTTTTTACGTGAAAAAAATGGCCTTTTCAAAATTTGAATTTTAAAAGCAGTTTTTATTAAAAAACGGGATCAAATCCGTTTTTCTGAGTATCTTTCAAAATCTACAAAGACTTTTCGCCACACTTTGAAATATTCCAATTTCTCTACCCTCTCTTTTTACGTGCTATTTTCTTATTTCTCTAACCTCTTCTTTGAGAGAGAAGAGGTTGCGGAAATTTCAAGTAGAGACTCTAATTCTGCCGCGGCAAATTTAAATGTCCCGGTCGTATTTGGAATGGCTCAACGGGTCAAGCTTCAACGTCAAAGTCGTTATTTGTATGTTTTCGCATCTTTATGTAGGTTGCTGCCGACCCAAAACGACTTGCGCGAGCTGACTTCCGGAAGTTTACTTGGTTTGCAAGCTTCAAAGTATCACACTAGACTCTGAACCATTCTGCACGCGACCAGTTCTTATCCAACTCTGAAAATATTCAGCATTGGTTCCGTTTCATCGATGACGATTTGGTCCGATCGGTTCTGGTGGCCTACCATTTGCCGAGGCTGACATCCGGTGGGAAATACGCGATGCTCTACGTTTTTCATCGCCTCGGGCTAATTTATTTCGATGTTAGTTCTTTTTTTTCGAAAAATCTTTGAAAAGGAATTTTCTAATCTTTTCGCTCAGGATCGGATAAGGAAAATTGTGAAGAAGGACAAAATCGCCATGGAGATTTTCAACCCAAAACAGGTAATCTTTTTCGATTTTAATATCAAAAAATTTGGGATCGCCTAAATTAATGAGGCGTGAGAGATCAACGGCGAACTGAAGAGATGCGAAAGAAGCAGAGGCTCTTTTTATTTGGCGTCTCTTCGCGCCGACGCTGATCTCTCGTTTCTGCTATAGGAAACTTCGAAAATCAATGGAACTTAGAGGTCGACGGAAGAGACACCAGAGAAGTAATATTTTCTCTATTTCTCTGTAGTCTCTTCCAAAGCAGTTTATCTCTCGCTCTGGATTATTTCAGTTTTTATTGTCCACCTTCCGAAAAAATCACAAGAGATGCCAGAGAAGTTAATAACTCTCTTTTTCTGTGGTGTCTCTTCGGGACAATGCTTGTTTCTCGCTCGCGACATTAATCTGCTGGTGCGGCCTACCTACCGTAATCTGCGGGCTAACCCCCCCTCCCCCCGCCCTTCTTTTTTTGGCATTTTTTTCACTCCCAGACCGAAAAACTCTTCTTCGCTGTGACCTATGTGAACGGATCGAAATTACAATACTTAGGTTTATTGTCTACAGCATTCTTGTTTCAGGGCAACTCGAGGGCGTCCGTCCGAATGATGCAGCAGGTCGAAGCCGTCTCCCTCCAGGACGCCTACCGCTTTGTCTATCAGAAAACTTCTTTGCGCGATTGTTTCCTCCCCAACGCGTCTCAGGCTCCCAATTCTGAGCCTATGGACACCACCTGAATTCCCTCTTTCCCACTTTTGCCTGTATATGTGATCCTCAGTTATTCTAGAGCTCAGAATGATGTCGTTTTCGGAATTTTCCTACTGAAACAAGATTTTTCATGTAATTATGAAGTTTTTTGAATTTTTTCTGTGAGCACGTTATTAATGGAGATGACAATTTATGACCGTTTATTTTACGAGCATCTGTCGTCCTATTCAAACGCACATGGGCATTAAACATTAAAATTACTGTTTTAGAGCACTTCATTGCGTTTCAAAAATAATACTTTGAAATTTTTGTCTCCAAAACTAGGATTTTTCCGGGTTTTTTCAAGTCGAAGAGAGAAAAGCGAATTCGTGAATTTGTGACCATACTCATCAAAACGGATTTATTCCGAAAGTCAATAAGTTTGAAAAAGGGCGAAAAATGCGACGGCAAGAGCAAGGAGAGCGAAAGAGGTGGAAGCAGTCGAATCTTCCTCGTCGTCGTCATCATCCTTCTTCTTCTTCTTCTTCTTCTTCTTCTTCTTCTTTTTTGGCGTATATGTTCTACTTTTTTTTGATTCACACATGAGTATAATCAATAAATAATTGAAAAAGGAACGAAAAGAGATAAAAACGGGCTTTCCAAATAGTCGCATAATCATTTTTTCCAAGAAAAAAATTGGCAAAAATAAATTTCACCAAAAAGGATTCGAACCAGCATCATAGGTTCCTCAGCGCAAGGCCGCTGGCCACTACACCACGCCGCCTAATGGCAGATAGAGTTACACAAACAACAAAATCCTTCCTTCCATCCAATGCGTAATTGCGTGAACTACCTATATTATATATCAAGTTTATTTGAATTCCAATACTTCGACCTTTTGCACTCCCCGTGTTAGATAGTCGCAAAATTATCCTTGTCATCCTTTTTTGAACTAATTCATGGATGAAAGTGCTGATGAGAGTCACCTTCTACGTCGTCCACTTTTAAGACCCGAAACGGCAGCGCGATGTATTGTAAATCCAATCTACCCTTTGAACTATTTATATTTATTTGGAAATTGCATTTCCGGTGTTAGGCCCGTAGATCATTCAGAAGCAATATGTTGCAGGGATGAGAAAGCAAATGAAAAAACAAATCAAAATGAAATAATATTTGATTTAGGATTGAGGTGGGAAAGGAAAGTGTGCAGAGATGCAGAGTTAGATCAAATCAGAGCTGGTCGTGAATCGGTTATACTGTATTTAGAAGTGGATGTTTGCGCAGACTTTCAGTTTTTTTTTCCACTCAGAAGTTTCGAAGAAATTTTATTGAAAAACCTTATCACAGCATTGAATTTTTCACATCATCTTCTCACCCTTCCTACTTTTATAACGCATTGAATTGAATAAGCTTTACAACGCTGTTAATGAAAAGCTTCGGAGGAACGTCACCCTTACACAAAAATCTGTTAGAGATGGAATAAAAGAACGAAACTTCGAGATCCATAGATCATTCACCGGAATATAGTCTGTGTGCCACGACTTTAAATTTCACGGAACGACATTCCGCTGTGCCGCTGCGCGCCTTTGCGAATTTTGGTCGCGCTTTTAATTTTTTTTTCTTTTAATTAGATGCTCCACTTTTATGTACTCCCACAGCAATAACAATCAATCGAAAGCGTGGCCTAGATTCGAAAGACGCTTCGCGAACACACGCAGCGGAACAGCGGAATGTCGTTCGGTGAAATTTCAAATCGTGGCACACAGACTATAATAGTCTGTTTTAAATGTCAAGCAGCTAACTTCGCCCCTGCTGATAATTTCCTTGGAAGAAATCTATCAAATCCATTAAAACTCATTCGAAATTTTTTCTCAACACATGGGTAGTCCCCAATTTCAGTCATTACAACGAGATTTTTCGAAAATTTTTGGGTTTTCGCTTTCAGAGAGTGTCCTCGGGGGACGAAAAGACCTGTAAACCTCAAAATTTTTGTTTTTTTTCAGAGATGAAAAGACCAAAAACAAAATGCAAAGTACACGTCAAACGGAGAATAGAAAATTTCTACATGTTTGGCAAAAACGAGATTCCTAGGAAGATTTCTATTGACTATGTAGAAGCAAAAACCGAAAAATCTCGTTGTACAGTACCGCTCAAAAAGTCTATTAAGTTTTTGGTTTTTTTGGGGATAAATTTTTTTATGAAGTGCGATATCGATTCAAATTTTTTTCATAGTTTTCTGAGAGAGACATACGTGTTCTGGCAAAAATTTCAAGTTGCTAGCTCAAAGAATAATAATTTTTTTCGAGAAAAACGAATTTTCGAAAAAAATCGAATTTTTTTGCTATTTTCAATTAAAAAAATCATAGCTCAACAAAAAATTTTTTTATCAACACAAAAACATTGTTAAAAACAATATTCGGGACCTAGTACTTGGTTGCGAAGCCCCTGGCGTCAATCACTGCCTGGCATCTTCTCTGCATAGAATTGAGCAAAGTGTCGATGGTAGACATGGGGATCTGATTCCATTCAGACAGCAGTTGAGCAAACTTCTCGTTGCAATTCTTGGCTCTTTTGTTGGCACAACGTCGCTCCAACTCTTCCCAGAGATGTTCGATCGGGTTCAGGTCCGGAGATTGACTTGGCCACCCCATGACATTGACCCGACGGCTCTTGAACCAGTCCTGAGTTTCAAAAACCATACGAATTACTTGTCAATTTTCTCACCTTGACGAACAATGAAGTGTGCTTGGGATCGTTATCCTGTTGATAAACACTCCCACGGCCCATGGCTCTCAAGTGCGGCAACATCTGGTTCTGGAGAATGTCTTTTGTAGACGTGCTTGTCCATGATGCCGTTCACGCGATGAAGCGGTCCGATGCCACTTCCAGAGAAGGCGCCCCACACCATGCAAGAACCTCCACCATGTTTCACGGTGGGTAATTGGTATTTCGGATGATATCTGGACCCAATTGGTCTACGAACCCACTGAATTCCGTCACTCCCGAAGAGGAGGAACTTGCTTTCGTCGGACCACAGAATCTTGTTCCAGTCTTGACGGGTCCAGTTGAGATGCTCCTTCGCCCACTTCACCCTGGCGGCTCGATTCTATTTCAGAAATCAGCGGTTTCTTCACTGGACGACTTCCCATGATTCCAGCAGCATTCAGACGTCGTTTCACGGTCGAGACGGATGGCGGAGATGGCGAATTCAAGAAAAACTTCCCGTCTGATCGCAGGGGCGGTGAGTCTTGGATTGGTTCTAGACGTCTTCAAAATGTTCCTATCGTCATTACGATCAGTGACACGTGGTCTTCCAGTGCGTTGGCTGTTAGTAGAGCCATCTTGAGCTTTCTGACGCTTTAGGAACTGAGAAATGCCCGCCTTTGTCACGCCGAACATTCCTGCCAACGTCATCATGGTCAGTCCATTTTGACGACCCACAACGATGGCTCTTTTGTCGTTATCAGTCAAATTCTTATTTCCAAAGGTTCTTCCCATGTCTGAAAAACATGAAAAAAATCATATGGCAACATTATTAATTTTTAAAAAAATTTAATAAAAAAATAAATAAAAAAATAAAAAGCATAAAAAAAACAAAAAATGGAATTCAATAAAAAAATGCCTAAAAACGCGTCACAGTCATTGCGGACATGTCTTTGTATACCGTATATGTTTCAAAGTATATTTTTACATTATCCCTGAAAGTTATATATAAATCGGATAAGTACTCGCTGAGATATCCCCAAAAAAACCAAAAACTTAATAGACTTTTTGAGCGGTACTGTATATATTAACTGAAATTGTGAGAATGTGTTGAGAAAAAATTTCGATCAAGTTGCAACGGTTTTTGTAGGGTTCCTCTAAAGAAAAAATGGCGAAAATAAATTTCGTCAAGGCGATTCGAACCCTGACCATAGTTCGAACAACATCAAACATCAAACCTGCAGCCATATTAAAAAAGCATCGTCACGCGCGATAACACATTGACGCTAAAGATATTGTAGCCTTGGGGATGGAGGCAGCTGCTTGACATTCAAATTGTACAGACTATAATTTGAACACGGTGTTGTTAATTCACGGCGTTTTTTTTATTACGCAAGGTCAAGACTTCTCGTAAATTATGATGTTTAGGGTGTAAGCACACCGAGACGCACTATCGCATACTCAAAATTGTTTTTTTCAATTTTAGAATTTGCAATTTTAGGATAATAACTTCTGAAATGTTCGAAATCTTGTCAGTTTGAAGATTATGATATGAAAAAAAACATTCACTTGCGTTAAAAAAAATTTAGGAACGATTTCGGAAACTCTAAATTACTGATTACAAATATTTCAACAACCGAGAGTAATTGAAGAATTTTTTAAGTCGCGCTCTGGAGAAAAAACACTTTACGTTCACTCAACCTTACATTATTTTTTGGTAGAACACATGAAGCAGGTCATCGGAGACGATAATTATATAGTTTTGAACACCAGTAATTGTTTTATTAGGATATTTTTCGCGACCACTGCCTAGCTGTGATTTACCAAAAGAATCTCGGATTATGAAAAAAATGATATTTGGCAATGAAACTAATTAAAAACCAAAGATTTATATAAAAAAAGAAACGAGCAAAAATCAGCGAAAAACTGTGAACAAAAAAATTGACGAATTTTTCAAAAAAACTAACTCCTCCCTCAGTTTTGAACGAAATTCCATGGAACCGCTTTCAATAGACGTGTAATATGCTACTATTTCACAATATGGACATCTCGCAAAACCCAAACATGAATAGACAGAGAATAATTTGAAAAACCACCGAAAAATGACATAAAAACCGAAAAAAATTTGAATTTCGCGGGGGCCTGCACAAAGTGCGCTCCATCGGTCGGCGGCAATCTTTTTACATTTGCTTTCACTGCGTGGAACGCCGTGAATTTGGAGACTTCTACAGGTAGGGGGCGCAAAGCCCCGCCTCTTCACGCCACCAAAATGACGATTTTTTTGTTGCAAAAACGGTTTTGAGGCGTTTATACTAGCTAAAGTTCAACTTTAAAAATAAATTGTTTCTGTTAATCTATGTAATCGACAACGCTCTACAAGACTGAAAAACTTTTAAACTATGTATTTTTCAAAAATCAACGAAAAAGTAAGATTTAACACGAAAAAAACTGACGAGTTTCACAAAAATCGTGGCGTTTCTGAAAAACCAAGTGAGGAACGCTTCCGAATTTTGAGTATGTTATACATTAACACTTTCTTTATTTTTTGAGTGGAATTTTGAAAAAATCTAACGACGCGAAAAAAAAATCGAAGCTTGTAAAGTGACACCAAACTTTGAAGCTGAAATGCGAAAAAAATTTTTCAGCGACATGGTATACTTTTTATTTGATTTAAAAAAACTCACAATGTGCTCACAAACAAAAAAATTCAAAAATGAAAAATAATTATTGGGACAGCGAATCAAATTATATTTGAATTTTTACCAAAAACCTCCTTTTTTTCGCCTGCCTCGTTGTCGCATGAGAGAATAGGATCGCGTTTATACTTTTGATCAGGTTATTAAGCGTTCAAAACTCTATCAATGAAAAAATTATGAAAAAAATCGATCGACGCGAAAAAAATAACGGCTTTGAAAACCTCGAAAAAATGGCAATTTTTTTTGAAATTTTGAAACAATTCGTGCAAGCGTTCGTAGCTGTGTTTGCGTCAAACACACCGATGCGCACTTTTAAATGTTGCAGGAGCCGTTTTTTGGAGTCAAATTACACATTTTCCTGTTTTTATTTCGAAATAACATTATTTTTTTCATTTTTTTCTTTTTTTCCAAACTAAATGATAATAATTTTTTTCTGATTAGAAAAAAAGAAAAAAATAAGCTGAAAAATTTCTTCTGACCTTTTTTTCTAAGAAGTTTTTTTGATATTTTATCAAAAAAATTCTTATGAGGATTGTACAAAAGATTCATACCAAAAAATGAAGCTCAGTTCGGACAACCTCTCAGAACAGAAAACCGATTCGAAAACGGTTCAGAAATGCGCAAAAACATTTAAAAAGAAAGCGTGCGGCAGCGGGTAAACCGTGAGATTTTGCCTCCAGTTGAACGCCGCGCGCGCTAGTTTTTTGGCCATAACTTTTTTCTTAGTGGAGACTAACGGCCACCGTGTTCACCAGACCTCAATCAAGATCAACGTCAAATCCACTCAAGTATCGAGGTCCTGAAGAAGACTCTCAAGTCAAGGAATGAGACGCTTTGTCGCCAGATTACCTGCGTGCAACCATCGTCTTCGTGCTGTCATCGGAAAGAGAGGAGATCGGATGGAACACGATTAGCTTATAATTGTTGTTATGATCATTAATAAACTTTTTGTTGATTCCCAGGTTTTCTGACTTTTACTTTTTTTTTTATATAGCACTTATAGCTTGTGCGGGTAATTTTGAGCCACCCTGTAAACCTTTTTCGCCGTTCATGAAAGAAAAGCAGCTATCCCGATCATGTGGGTTTTGAAGCTCGAAACTTTTTTTTTGAAAAACTGCGGTTTTATCCATAGCTCGTTAAGAATTTCCGAAATTAATTTGAACGCTGCGTTAGATGTTAATTTGAAAAATTCAAAACCCTTAAACCTTCAGCCGGAAGGGCGACGGCGTACGAAGCGCCAGGACATATGCCAAATAAAGTCGACGCCTGAAAATTATTCTGTTCTGAGGTCCGCAGGACAAACTTTTGAGAAGGTTGTTGAGATTGAGGATAATAATGAGTTGAGACTACTTTTTACTGTCTTTGATTAAGATAACAAAGTCCCCCCTTAACATGGAAGGTCATTTTTGCGTAGGGTTTGGAATTTTCCAGAGAATTCAATTTTCTATAAATTTGCTCAAAAAATCTTTGATGGACTGAGAACCGATCCCGCATAGTGGCTATCTGCGCAAACTTTTCGTTTTGGAGATATGATTTTTTAAAGTTTTAATCCCCGTTTTCCCGACTTGAAAGACGAGGGAGGCAGGGCAGGGGGCAGGACGCGTAGCGTGTGTGTACGCGGTTCTTGGCGCCACTTCAATTTAATCGCCGCCGACTATTTTAAAAGCTCGGCAACCGCTCTTTTTTGTATTTTCTACTATTTTTGATGCACACATGAATATAATCAATAAATAATTTGAAAAGGAATGAAAAAAGCGATAAATAAGTTTTCTGAATTCTGGCTGGCGGTTGAATTGAACTCGCGCCAAAAACCGCGTATGCGTACGCACACGCTACGCGTCCCGCCCTTTGCCCCGCCTCCCTCGCCTTTCAAGTCGGGAAACATTGACTATAAGAGCGTGATGCAGTGGCTATCTGCGAAACCTATGAAGGTTCGAATCTTTTTGCGGCTATCGTTTTTTGCCATTATTTTTTTGAACGATCATGATGAACATGTCGAAATTTCATGATTCAAACCGATTTAAAAAAGTTCGATGGCCAATTTCTTTCAAAAATAACTTCTAAACAAAAATATTTTTTTTTTTTGAAAATTTCTTGAAGTTATGGCCGACCATCCAATCATCAGAGACTTTTTTTCATTGAAGAACAGCAGACACCTTCTGAAAAAAGCGCTAAATTACCATCAAAGATCTTCGCACACCTTGATCGAAACAAATAAGAGTTTGCTCGAATTTCACTATGTCAAAAGAGCTGCGGAAAAAATTGCCAGAGAAAAAACAGCTAACATGGGAGGTCATTTTAGCGTAGGGTTCAGAATTTTTTCTAAATTTGCTCAAACAATCTTTGATGAACTGGGAATCGACCCCTCATAGTCGCTATCTGCGCAAATTTTTTGTTTTGAAGATATGATTTTTCAAAGTTTTTATCCTTAACCATGTGATGCTGTTTGGAAGGAATGTGGCCGCGCCATCAAACAATGCTTGGCAGCTAGAAGCTTCTAGAAGCGTGGTGCAGTGGTAAGCGCGTCAGCCTGCGGAGCCTATGGCAAAGGTTCGAACGAATCCTTTGCCATACGAATCCGCAGCCGACAGAACAAAATGGCGACAACGTTCCAGAAAAGCGGACCCCGCGACCGAGCGGGACAGACGCTGAAGAAGAAGAAAAAGCCGTTCTAATAAGTTCGATAGCTATTTTCTTTCCAAAATAACTATGTTTTTCCCCGGACTGAATTTTGAAAAGTTTCTGAAGTTGTGGCCGACTTCACATCATCAGAGAAGTTTTCCCTAAAACTTTCTTGCTCAAAACTTTATGGATTTCCGAAATTTTGCCGGAGTAGGATGGAAATGCGATTTGGAAATTTTTTCCAATGAAACTCGGATGACGGGTAAGTTTTTACATGTTCTGTAAAATTTTTTCTGCAAAAAAATAAAGCTAAAATTGACTATTGACATATTGAAAAGTCATCAATCTGTTATTGATCGCAATCAAGAGATTCCAAGATCTTTGATGAAGGTTTACCGGTTTTCTGAAATACTTTCTGCTGATTTAAAAAAAAAGTCTTAGATGTTGTGAAGTCTGTCACTTCAGAAACTTTCCAAAATTTTTTTTCCATGTCGCAAAAAAAGTTGGCGGCAAAAGGATTCGAACCTTCGTAATGGGCTCCGCAGGCTAACACGCTAACCACTGCACCACGCTCCTAGTTGCTATCAGTGGTTGGTGGCGCGGCCACATTCCTTCCAAACAGCGTCACATGGTTAAGGATAAAAACTTTGAAAAATCATATCTTAAAAACGAAAAGTTTGCGCAGATAGCGACTATGAGGGATCAATTATTATATTTGGTGGCTTATAGGCCCGGGTGAGAGTACTTGGAAACAAGAGAGATTATCTGCTAAACCCCAAAGGCTTCTGAGAAAAAGCTTTTTGAAAATGAACAGTTTAGGCTTGAAAATTATAAAATTTTTGCTTTCCTCCTTTTTTTAGCTGGAAAAAAGTTTTTTTAAATGTATCATACCCAGTCCATCAAAGATTGTTTGAGCAAATTTAGAAAAAATTCTGAACCCTACGCTAAAATGACCTCCCATGTCAGAGCGATTTTCCATTCATCCGTCTATATAGGCTATGTATAATATAGCTGATATACGGCTGGCTTGAGCCATCGAAACAAAGAAGTGTAAAGATACGCCCCGCCCCTCAGCGTCCCAAGTTAGCCGTGAATCGGCTATAGCCTATACGGCTACCGTGAGAAAGCTTAAAACACTTTTTCCATCACTTACTTTGTCGTCTGCTACGACGTCTTCATCATTTTCTCTTGAACGTTCTTTGCCATCCGTGTCATACAGGATAGTATCGAGTTTTAACTTATCGCCTTTTCTGAAATGACCTTGTTGAGCCAAAACACGAACAAACTGTTCAGCATGTCTCTCGTATTTCCCCTAGCTCTTTGGATCTATTATATTATCTCCGATATTTAAACTAACTGGTAGAGTTCACCAAACCGATCGTTCGACCAAACGTTCAACCAATATTTTCATGACATGTTACCAAAGACTAGGGAACTACTCGGTTTCGGGAACGCGTTTCGAGTTGAAAATTTGGTGACTTATAGGCCCGGGTGAGAGTACTTGGAAACAAGAGAGATTATCTGCTAAACCCCAAAGGCTTCTGAGAAAAAGCTTTTTGAAAATGAACAGTTTAGGCTTGAAAATTATAAAATTTTTGCTTTCCTCCTTTTTTTGGCTGGAAAAAAGTTTTTTAAAATGTATCATAGCCGGATCATCCAAGGCGATTGTATAAAAATATAAAATAAGGCAAAAAGCAGTGTTCTGAAAAATTTCAGGCCTAATTTTCACATTTTCTACTAATTTTTTCTCAGTTCTCCATCGGGTTTAGCAGATATTCTCTCTTGTTTTTAAGTTCTCTGACTTGGGTCTATAAATCACTAAAGTTTCAAATCGAAACCCGTACCCGAGTCCGAGTAGTTCCCTAGTCAGGCACTGGGCGCGCGAGAGCGCGCTCTAGTTGCGGGGACGACCGGGTTGTCACTCGAATTTAAGGCCTTTGCTTCAAAGAAACATAACAAAAGACGCATAATTTTTTTTTTTGTAAAAGAAAGGTTTATTTTTAGAGTTCCATCCCGATAACACTGAAATTATTTCCAAACACAGTTTTTTATGAATTATGTTTGGGATGATTTATGCTGGAAATCAAGATAGAATTTTTTTTTGTGGCTGTCGGTTTTTCAAATGTGAAATTAACCGCATTTTGTCAAACAATTAATATATGTTTCTCACCAGGGAATGGTCTCAGCTCAGAGAGGGACTTCTGAATGAGACCATGTTTTCTAGATGTAGTTTTTTATGCTGATTCTAAATCCGGTTTCAAAAGCTGCACAAAACGTCTGTGAAAAAAGTTATGGACCCTCAAATGTCGAAAATCTCATAGTCTCCGATCGAGCTCATTTTTGGAGGGTATGTAGATCCTGTCCCTCTGATCAACGGTTCAGAAACGCGCAAAATGAAATTTAAAAAAATGTGGCGGGTAAACCGTGAGATTGAGCCTCCTGTTCTAGAATTATTTAACTGTTTGAGTCTCCATAATGCGTATAATTTTTGATTGTAGTGTTTGAATATCAAAAAAATCAAATATCAACGGCCTAAAAAAACTTTTTAAAAAAATGGAGATTTTGTGTTTTCTTTTTTTAAGTTTGAGTAAACTTTAAAAACTAGCTTTTTTTACTGACTTGAAAAAGCGAAATATGAGATGTTAAAAAAATGAGTTTTATTAAGATGTGAGAGCACTTCTAGCGAAAAATAGAAGTTTTTGGAAAAAAAGGGAGTTTTTGAAATTTTAACGACAACATTTTCGAAAAGCAGGTTTTGCAAGATGTCATATTATGAGTTATTATTTACTTAAAAACCGTTAACATATCAATGAAGGCCAAAAAAGGTCTCAAAGTCTGAAAATTTGGCAAAATAGCCATCATAAAAACCGACCGAACCGACCAATTTTTCAAACATGCTCTCTGCAACTGCGCGCGAAAGTGTTGGTGGAACGACAACCCGGCCTTCCCCGCATGGAAGCGCCGGTTTTCCCTGCCCAGTGCCTGAGGAGACACGGCGACACCAAATCGATGCCACATTCACTACAACGGCGGAAAATAAAATGTGTTGTACGCAGAAAAAGCGACGCGCAAAATGCGAGATTAAACGTTTATAATAAATAAAATCAATTTTTCTGGCTGATATTTATCAAGGAATCGCCGAAAAAAATTCTACAATATTGATATTTCAAAAAAATCCCATCTAGAACTAAAATGAAGAAAAAAATAACTCCTTTTTAGAACTTAAATTCTATTGCAACCTCCAGAATTTTTTTCTGGCCTCTAAACACTAGTGAAAATTTCAAACTTACAATTAAAAACAAGATTCTGTCAGAAAAAAGTCTTATGAAACGGGAAACCGACGGAATATGGAGAAAAAACCTAATCAAAAAAATGGTCGAAAAAAGATAGGATTTTTCTAATACCAGTAAATTTTTTGACTGGGAAAAACCTTGTTCAGAACTAAGTTAAGAAGTCATTACTTCATTAATATAAATAAAAAATATCATTTACGGACAACTGAAAATTTCAAAAACGACGTTCGCGTAATCGACTCAAAGCAGCTTAAAAACTGATTTTTTCCTTGAAAGAAAAGTTTTTGCGACTGCGCGTTTACTATATATCATAATTTATTCATTAAAAAGGAACAATTTAATACCAAAAAAGTCATATTTTAAAGAAATTCTTGATTTTCGCCATTTTTTTCGATCAACGCTTTTTTTCTGAGCGCCCACAACGAAAAACTTCCGCATTTGATGTCAAACTGTAGCCAATAACATCGAGCATAATTCTATGAGACAGATTTTCAAGATTCGCTCTAGCCGCTGAGAAAATTGAGTTTATGTCCTTTTTCAAGCCAAATTTGTAATCATCATTTTCTAACAGTATACTAAACTGAAAAAAATGCATTCTTGGTAGCAATCGAAACATGAGCGAGCCCTTTACAATTCTATGGCGGGGATTTTCGTGAAACGCTCTATATTTTAAGAAAAACCCAAAACAAAATTTTCCAAGCCAAAATATATCTGTTCAGGTTTTGAATGTCAAGCAGCTAACTCCACCCCCAAGGCTACAATATCTTTCGCGTCAATATTTTATCTACATATGCCAATGGCCCTTTAATAAGGCTGCTTTTTTGATTTCTTTTTCTATCTTTTAGATCGAAAAAGATCAAAATTAGTCCCGCGCGATGAAACATCGACGCGAAAAGGAACCGTCTCAGCCGGGGCGGAGTTAGATCCTTGACATTCAAAATCTGAACAGACTATAGAATCACAAAAAAATGCGAAAAACAGCAAGCGCGCCCCATTAGACGAGTGCGCGTATGCGTTGTTTTTTTTTTTTACATCAGTTGGCTTGCGTGCTGTCGCCGTGCGAGAAACATCTTATTTGACGACTTTTTGAGAGCGGGACGTATCTCTTGAAACGCCGTGTTGAATGGCGGGAAACTAAGATCACGTTTTTATTCGAAAGTAGTCACATCTGTAATTTTTTGAGTATATCGTTAGATTCGCAAGGAAAAGATCGACAAGGTATAGACGATTCACGGCTAGCTTGGGACGCAAAAAGGCGTGGCCTGTCGACCCTTTTCTTAATGGCTCAAGCCAGCCGTAAATCAGCTATATTGCTTTCATATGAAATCCCGTTTTTTACTGCCTCTACGCCTTTCTAAATACTTCGCGTTAAATCGCAAACCGCTACTCCCTGACGTCATCCCTATGACATCATCTTCATTTGCAAAATTCGCACACGCAGCCATATCATTTTATTCATTTTTTTACGTTCCAATTTATAAAATTAGATTCGACGTGAAAACTTTTCCGGTCACATGAGAAACAGAAAGGTATCACACTTGAAAATCCCCTTTTGATTGGAAACTTTTTTTCATTCTTCTATTGTCTTACTTTTTTTAGAAACCTTTTGAAGGTTTGAAATAATCCGAGGCGTCGAGGCCCACGCTTAGAATGCTCCTTTAAAATTTTTTCTTTTTTTTTCACAGATTTTTTCGCTAAGCGTATAGTCTGTTCAGATTTTGAATGTCAAGTGCAATGACGTCATTCAAAAACACTCTGTGGATGGCTCGCTCTCCGATTGGTTTGTCGCACCAATAGGGGCGGAGCTTGAGCGACGACTTGACATTCAAAATCTGAACAGACTATATCAAGTTTGCAAATCGTTTGGAGCTACCTGATAGTGTTATTAGTGACCACGTTTTGAAACTAAATGCCTTTTATGTCAAGTATTCATTTATTTGACGATTTTTTCACTGTGGCTCAGTTTTTTCGAAGCGAGCCACAGTCGGCTTCGCGCTATGCGCGCTCCGCCTCCGTGTGAAGCCTTAAAACTAAGCCTATTTTCTTAAGTAATGCATGAATCTGTAGGCGCAGTTTTAATGCAAAGGCGCAATTCAGGCTCTTCCCATTCTTCAATTTTTTCAATTTCAATTTCAATTCAATTAAATTTATTCAGTCTTCAGAGTAAGATGAAGAAAATCTCTGCTGAATCATGGTATAATCGAAGAGTTAGTCGTCGGCGCGGGTTACGGTCCACAATCTTTGTCCAATACGTCCCGGAGTGACAGCTAGCGTTGGGAAATAATGTGGGCCCGTTGGTAGGACCAGCGAATAAACTGCTTCACCATGTTGGAACAGTACGGCGCCCAGCTTGTTCAGGGCCGACGGGCGTCGGAATATTATCCCATGAGAGAGCGGCAAAGAGACCGACCAGTCGACGTGATGAAATGAGATAATAATAATCTGCTGAATCACGTGCACGTGAAAGAAATGAATATATAGCCAAATATTTCGATTACGCTTATTTCTAATGTTACGAATGGTGTCATGAAATGACGTCAGGGAGTAGCGGTTTGCGATTTAACGAAAACTCTTTTAAATTCGTTTTTTGTCAAAGTTACCATCATAAACATGAACTATAGTCTGTTCAGATTTCGAATGTCAACCAGCTAACTCCGCCCCTGCTGAGACGGTACCTTTTCGCGTCGATGTTTCATCGCGCGGGACTAATTGTGATCTTTTTCGATCTAAAAGATAGAAAAAGAGGTCAAAAAAGCAGCCTTATTAAAGGGCCATTGGCATATGTAGAAAAAACATTGACGCGAAAGATATTGTAGCCTTGGGGGTGGAGTTAGCTGCTTGACATTCAAAATCTGAACAGACTATAGTCATTGGGTTTTGCAGAAACACAAATAAAGAAACATACTCGAGCTCGCATGCTGAGCAGGGTAACCCCGCCGTGCTAACACGGGGTCTCCGCGGGTGCCCCCGTATTAAACCCGTATAAGCCCAGCTGATAGAACTTTTGGCACTTTTTAGCCCAACTGAGACCCCGCTTTAGCCCAGCTGGGTTACATTTTTTTCTTACACCCGTTGTTCCCCCGTTTTAGCCCAACTGAGACTAAAATAACCTCAGAAACACGGGTTTAATACGGGTACACCCGTTGAGACACCTGCTCAGCATGCGAGGAGTCCATCGCTACAGGATCCTTTTTCTAAAAAAATGAGTTGCGGTTCTTTGATGTTCTTGTATTTGCTGAAGTCGATTGGAGGATGCGCCATAGCAGCGGCGAATATAATCGCTCCGATGAGCAAGAGTCGGATTGTTGACATCTCGAAAAAAGTGCAGGAATATAGATTCGGCGGTCAGTCATTCGCTTTTATACCTACACGTGTTTTTTAAACCACTTCATTTTTTTCTCATTTTCAAACGTTTTTCTTTAAGAATGGGAACTAGAAAAAAACTTGATCTAACATTTCGAGTGGATAAAGGAAAACTCATAGTTCGGTACGTACCCCGTCTGTGGTATATTACAGTAAAATACCCCCACACATGTCTGGAATTCCTCATATAGTCAATTTTTCGCGATAAAGCCTTTATCATAAAGGCGATTGAGACGAGGGAGGGGCAGGACGCGTAGCGTGCGCGTACGCGGTTCTTGGCACGAGTTAACTCGCATGCTGATCAGGTGTCTCAACGGGTGTACCCGTATTTAACCCGTGTTTCTGAGGTTATTTTAGTCTCAGTTGGGCTAAAACGGGGGAACAACGGGTGTAAGAAAAATATGTAACCCAGCTGGGCTAAAGCGGGGTCTCAGTTGGGCTAAAAATTGCCAAAAGTTCTATCAGCTGGGCTTTTACGGGTTTAATACGGGGGCACCCGCGGAGACCCCGTGTTAGCACGGCGGGGTTACCCTGCTCAGCATGCGAGTAAGAGTTAAATTTAACCGCCAGCGACTATTGACTTTTTGCATGTGTGCACTTAACTAAAAATAATGAAATTTTTACAAAAAGATCGGTGACCGAACTTCAAAAAGTCGGTGGAGCTTGAACTGAACCCGTGCCTAGAACCGCTACGCACGCGTTACGCGTTCCCACCTATTTCTCCGCCTCCGTCGCTCTTCAAGTCGGGATGGATCAACTATATAACCCCGTCTACCGCACGGTGTTCCGCGAATGAAAAAAAATTCGAAATTTTGGGTCCCAGCGGCATATTATCCGTGGCGCATGATTGCGCCCTTCTCATGGTTTCTGATGCAAAAATTGAATTTCGATGGTACGATTTAATTTCAAGTCCGCAAATCTCCGGAGCCGTTATCTCAGAGTACCGTAATCTCAAGGCCCTTAATCTCCGGAACCACTTATTTCCGAAAACAAAAAAACTTCAATTTTTTTTTCTCTTTTTCGCATTTTGTTTTCTTTTTTCCTTGTGTTGTGCTCAGAATACAATCTCCGATCCAAATTTTTCGCCGAACCCTAATTTATTCATCAAATTTCCACTTATATTGAGAAGCTGAACAATTTTAAGTTAAGCCACTTCGAAGCTCGAGTTTCACTCTTTCTTTCTTTGCTGTCCACATGCAAAAGTGATCAGAGAAGCTAAAGGACAAAAAAAAATAGAAAGAAATATCAACTTGAAAAATTGAAAATTATTTTCACTCAGTGGAGAAGATAAAAAAAAGTTTGTAAAACGAAAATATTTGGCTTTCGTACGCAGTTTCGATCGGAGATTGTATTCTGAGCACAACACAAGAAAAAAATGAAAATAAAATGCAAAAAAGAGAAAGAAAATTAAAGTTTTTTGTTTTCGGAGATAAGTGGTTTCGGAGATTATGGGCCTTGAGATTACGGTACTCTGAGATAACGGCTCCGGAGATTTGCGGACTTGAGAAAATCGTACCATCTGAATTTCGATGGTACGACAAAATCTCAAGTCCGCAAATCTCGAGGACCGTAATCTTGTGTACACAGATCTAAAGTCCCATAATCTTGGAGACCAAAATCTGGGAGACCAAAATCTTGGAAACCACAATCTTGGAAAGTAAAAATCAACGCTTTTGCGAATAGATTTTATCAGAAATTGTATTCGGTGATCCAAACAAGAGAATATAAGTAGATAAAGTGCAATAAAGAAGACTAAAAAGGAAGATTTCTGCTTTCCAAGATTGTGGTTTCCAAGATTTTGGTCTCCAAGAATTTGGTTTCCAAGATTATGGGACTTTAGATCTGCGTACACAAGATTACGGTCCTCGAGATTTGCGGATTTGAGATTTTGTCGTACCATCGTTCTGCACGCTTTGTTTACAACCACGAAAATTTGCTCCAATGATAATGGTAAACAACGGGGCTTTTGGCGTCTTCTTTGTGAAACGTGGCTCTTGTTTTTTTTTTGTTGTGGTCGCGTGTCAAAAAGATTTTCGAGCATCAATTTTTTTTAAGTCAGTTTCTTCCTGAAAAATATTTAAGGACCTCCAGGGAAAACTTAGCTTGCGCTCAAAAATCATGTACATACGTTCAATTTTTCGAATGACTTGTCATTTCCACTTTTCAAGGCCTTTTTTTTCGTCCGTTTATTGTGTTATAACATTATTGGTGCTCTGTTATCAGGGTCTCTGGAGACGAAATTTTTTTCAGAAAATATGCTGCGAAACGCGTTGTTTCGCACAAATAATGTGATAAACTCCACTATCGCCGCCGCTTCCTCGACGTATTCGGGGTTAGTTTTAAAAAAATTCTCATATCTAATTTTTTTTAATTGGAACAATTTTGCCGCCTAAAAATTATTGGATTTTCTCGTATAAAATTTCATGATTTCAGTTCTTCCGCAAAAGAACCTCGAAAGATCCCAGCAACCGGAATGACCATCAATCCTTTCGCACTTTTCATCAAAGAAAATGCGAGCGAGAAAAAAACGAGCGCTCCTACGGTATTCTTCAAAAACCTCACACAACAGTGGAAGTCGCTTGATGAGAAGCAGAAAAATGTAAGTTCTTTATATATTTCCTCTCTGAAAAATGGACTTTTTAAGGCGTACAGCGTGAAATCGAAGCAGTACAGAGAGGAGAAAATAAAGGAATTTTTGAATTTGAGCGACGAGGAACAGAAAAAGAGAGTGCAAGAGGCGGCGGATGAAAAGGCCGAAAGGGCCAAAAGAAAAGTCAGGAAGGCCCGTAGAGAGGTAATTTATGAATCAATTGGAAAACAGACATTTTTCCGGGAATAGTTTTGAAAAAGTTCGGAGAGCTGTGGTTCATGAACTATTTGAGATATACGACATAAATTCACGTTTACAATTAAAAGATCTTAACAGGATCATAGACCAAAATGAACAAGTTTAGACTTTTTTTTTAGTGTTAATCTCATTTTCGAAGTTTCAGAAAGCTATTTGATAAGAATTGAATGAAAAAAAAAATGAAATTTTTGGAAAATAACGAAAGCTGCTGTAACTGTATCAGAGATAGGTCCTTAAAAATAAAAGAAAAATAAAGTTTCACGATTTTTTTGAGAGTTTTTAAAGGAGCAAAGATAAAAAAATAAGGAAATAATTATGCTATTTTTAAGATTAGGAGACTTCAGGCCCTTTTCAATTTTGATCCTAGAAATCTTTTTATAGTCTGTGTGCCACGACTTGGAATTTCACTGAACGACATTCCGCTGCGTGCGTTCGCGAAGCATCTTTAGAATCGAGATCACGCTTTCAATTGATTGTTATTGCTGTGGGAGCACAGGAGAGTAGAGTTCCTTAATAAAAGAAAAAAAAAATTAAAAGCGCAGCGGTACAGCGGAATGTCGTTTGGTGAAATTATAAGTCTTGGTACATAGACTATAATGCCCAGTAGACTTTTAAAAAAACTGGAATCATCGATGAAATCTTGTAATTTGACAGGAACACGAGAAAACCAACCGTCCCGAGATGCCTCCCAACTCTTATGCCTTGTTCATCAAGCACGAAATGCAGAAGTTGAAGGATTCCGGAGAAGCCGTCGCTCCCGTCAGCAAAAACGTCGCGAAATTCGCCAGCCAGTGGAAAGAAATGTCGCCCGGACAGAAAACCGTCCGTTTTTTCTGTTTTCTGAATAGAAAACATTCAAAGCGGTACCAAAATTGTAGCCCTTCTAGCTGGAAATTAAGTTTTCTAGAAGTCCGGAAAATATCCAACAAGAATAGGGCAAAAAAATGTTCTCAGCTTTTGGTTTTTACGACATCTTGTCTAACGCCTTAAAGTCGGTATTTTGGTGCAGAAAATAACAATTTTCGGCGTTTTTGCGGTGCCATAACTCGAATAAAATTTGAAAAAGGATTGTTTTGCTCATAACTTTATCTGAAACTTGGTAAATTCTAAAATTTGTGATTTTCGTGTTTTTTTTTGGAGGATATGGTTTTTCAATGAATTTTTTTGATATAATGTTAGGAAAATGGGAAAAAGAAAAAGTTCCTCAAAAACTTTCTTTTTTTAAAAGGTTTGAAAAAAATTATTCCGATATAATTGAAACTTTAAGAAAAAAAGCTTCTAGAACCCGTAAAATCTGTGAAACCTTCTAAAAATTTGTTTATTTATTTCTAGGCTTTTTACCGCTTATAAAAATTTTTTTCCGTAAAAAAATGTTTGAATAAACTTCAAAAATACTCTTAATCACAGAGAATACAGTTAATCTTGTATCCGAAAATTATGGTTTCGAGCTAGGGCTTTCTCTGAAACCGAAAATGTTCCTTTAACTTTTTTGAATGTTCAGGAATTTGTCGAAAAAGCCTCGGCCTTACGCTCGGATTATTACGCGAAACTGGCCGAATGGAACAAGAACAATGGAAAAGAAGCCCAGAAACCCGCATCGAAATAATATTTCTGATCCATTTTGTAAATAATTATAAATTTGTCACAGTTTTGCCATCGTGTTTGTTACAACAAATCTCATACCTCATACCAGTTGCTTTGTTTATTTTGAATAAACCGATTTGAAACTTTTTTTTCTTTCGAATTTTCTGAAGGTTTTTCTGAACCTTGTTGCTACTTTCTTCGTTCTTTTAGTTTTTGCTCGCAATTTTCACTTTTAGGATGAGTTTTGTGAAGCCTCTGATCCTCGCGGCAGTTTTTGTCGCCGTCGCCATGGCGGCCGACGACGACAAGAAGGTCGACAAACTGCAGATCGGCGTCAAAAAACGTGCCGAGTCGTGCGAAATCAAATCCAAGTACGTTTTTGATCATTGCCAGGGAAATCTCTCGATTTTTGCGTTGAAACAGGTTGAATTTTGACTATTTTTTGAATATTTTCACGCCGAAATTCCCTCGGGCAAAGTCGGAATGGTAGATAATAGCCGCTAAAAGGGAGAGGCTCAAAAAAGGCTGCAAAAAGAATCCCTTTTACGAGCCTTCCATTTTTGCTGGGTTTTTGAAGTCAAGAAATGGTGCACAGCGTTCTAAAGCGGGGTTCCCGCCCCTTTTCTGAAAAGCATGCGGACGTTGCATGAGTGGGCGTGGCTAACAATCGTCTTTTCGCGTCGTAATTAAGAGTCCGGATTTTTTGATTATTTGAAGGCTAGCATTTTTTTTTTCCTGACATTTATAGTTTCCAAGTGTTGCTAGTCATTTTCTATAACTCTCTTAAAAATTTCGCAGTTTATTTTTCTTGTGGTTTGATTGGTTCAAAGGACTACATAATTGTTCTGTTCACGAAAGTCGAAATTTTTTTAACTCAGGTTTGATTTTTGTATTCTTTTTTTCCTGTTTAAGTAATTGAAAAACTGATAATGTGATCGATTCCTGGAGTTGAAATTTCGATTTTCGGTTTTTGTCTCTTAGGTACAGACCAATTACACCTTTTTTTGAATTTTTTTCGTCAAGTCGAAATTTTTTTCTCTTTTGCGCAGACACTGACAGCTTTTTTTCTTGGTTATTAGTTGGAAACTGATATTTTGATCGATTCTTGAGTTGGAATTTCGATTTTTCGGTTTTTGTCTCTTGGATACAGTATTTTTTTTATAAACAACGTTTCGGCACATAACCGAGCTATGGACACTTCAAAAAAACTTTCTAAAAACGTTTAAAAAAACATTAATTAAAAATTTTACGTGCATAGAAATAAAAAAAGATTTAAAAAAATCGAAAAAAGTTAATAGCATGTAAATTAAAGAAAAAAAAGCACCTTGATTTTGATTGACAACGCTCCAAGTTACGCGCTCCATTGAGAATAGTTTGCGCCTCTTTCTGCGTGAACCCCGTTTTAGAACGCTGTGGGTGGAAAAAGGGAGAGACAGCAAAAAAGTTACTTTTCGTATACTGTAACTTCTCTGTTCACTTATTTTCATAGAAGTACAAAAAAGTTCGAATTTTTTTAACATAAAAAAATTGAGAAATGTGGGGGGTAAGTGGATTATAAGTTCTTTGAAGTCTTATTCAAGAGCTCCACCCTATTAATTGAATATCGAGAGTGAAGGAAATCATTTTGATGATTTTGGAGTTTTAATAGTCAAAAAGTTTGAAGCCTGGGTTTGATCCAGCTTTGAAAGAAAAGCATTTTGAGCTTAACATATCGTTTTTCGCAATTTCCTTGATTAAATTCAGGAAATTTAACAATAGTCTGTGGAGAATCTACAGTAGGAATTTTTTTTTGAGTTTCAAAAGGTCCCGTTCTTTGAAAAATATTAAATGTTGACTTTGAGGAAGGGCGACACTCTCCACATGCACTACACTGGAACTCTTCTCGACGGAACCGAGTTCGACTCCAGCCGCACCAGAAACCAAGAGTTCACCTTCACTCTCGGACAGGGACAGGTGAACTTTTTCATTCGATGGTGAAATGTAGAAAGTTTCATCTGACGATTTCTGACGAAAAACCCTTGTAAACCATTGGTGAAAGCTTCGCTTCGAGACCTTTTTGCGAAAAACTCTCGTGACCACTTAAGAGGTTTCTCGAGGACCACTTGCCACTAAAACCATCTTAGAAGCCACTAATCTTCCTCTTAGTGGCCACTATAATATTTCTAGTTTTCTAGTAGTACCACTGTTTAAAAAAACTGTTTATTGCATCTTCAATGTAACAATACATGTGCAATCGACTTTCATTGATTTCAACTGTGTTTAAACGGCGGCAGGAGCTGTGGCTTAGGCAGAGAAGTTGTGAATTTCGCTCGTAAAACATCAGGTACAAGAGAGGTCGTAGGAAGAAGTACGGTGCCGGCTTTCCAAAGGCCGATGGCAGAGATTGAGCCTTTTCGCTGGATGCAGCTCCCAATTTTATCTACCCCGGAGGGATGAAAGGCTTGGTCGACCTCGGGGGGACTCGAACCTACGACCTCGCGGACGTTAGAAAAGTACCACATGGACTTCTAAATAGGCAACTATTTTTAGCCACTCAAGTGGCCGCTAATTCGCCTACTATAATGGCCACTAAAATGTTAAAACCCTATAATGGCCACTTGAAGTTTCACCAGTTTGTTTATAGCTTTTGAAGCGTGAATGCAAAAAAGATCTCATTTACTGTAGCTTAATTTTTACTGTTGTTTACAGAATATTATAGTTTTGAAAATATTATGAAGTCCTCGAAAATCAGTAGAAAGAAGAACAAGAGGAAAGGTAGGAAATGTGTAAGAAAGCTTGTAGTTTTTTTTCTCTACCGTGTTTTAAAAACTTGACAGTGTTTTGCGGAGTAAATTAGAGTTCGAAAAACAGTTCACAGTTCTCAATAATTGAAAAAAAGGTGGAGGGGTGCAAAAAAACCGAAACGAAGTATTTTTCAGGTCATCAAGGGCTGGGACCAGGGCCTCCTGAACATGTGCGTTGGTGAACGCCGTGTTTTGACCATTCCGCCGCATCTCGGATACGGAGAACGAGGAGCCCCGCCAAAGATCCCTGGTCATCTTTAAAATCAAACTTTTCGGAATTTCATGGGAAAAAAAAACGGGAAAAGATTATATGTTAGAAAAATCAGATTGCTCACGTTTTGATGGCTTTTATGAATTTTTAAAGTTTCTTGATCAAAGCTTGAGATTTTAGAAAGGCAGAAAATTTTTTTATGAAGCGGAGGCTTGAGAAATACGGCAATTGGACCGTTTTTCTCATTAGCTCTGTAGGTTGTAGTTGAAATCAACATCTTCATAATTTTTCAAGGCTATTGAAATCTGAATAATTGGTGATTCACTTTCTTCCCAAGTGGAAAAAAATTATTTAAAAACTATTGTGTTTTTTTAATTTTTTTATTTAATTCAGAAAAACTTAAATCAAAAAAATCGCAATATTCCTATAAGAGTTGAAAATTTTGATTTTATAAACATTTTAAGCATGTTTTCTCTCCGACTTACCAAAGTTTATGCGTAAAATTTCATTTTTATGAATTTCTAAGCAATCTTCAACAGTTAAAGTTGGAAAAATCACTCTTTTTCAACTCGATTCTTCAGGAAACTCGGTCCTCAAGTTTGACGTCGAACTCATGAAGATTGACAGAAACTCGGAACTCTAATCTATCATCCTTACGTTTTAATCTGTTGAATGTCCAAATAGGGTTTCAAAAGCGCCTTTTTTCATATTTTTGTGTTATTTGTTCCGTTTGTGCATCTCGTTTCCAATAAAGTAATAATTTATTCTTCGACCGTGGAATTTCGGACAGATTATCGAATTATGTTAATAGCCGCCTCGTAGGTCTCTGGTGAGAGGCGAGATCGAATATTACTTTTCCTCCATTTTAAAAAGGTTTCGCGACAAAATTTGTGACGATTCGCATGGTTTTTGTCGCAGACACTTCTTATCAGTTGGAAAAGAAAGGGGGGACGCTATGATTTCGGCTGACGCGGTTATTAGTAGTTCTTCGCACACTCGGGGGTTTTCTTTTTTATGGCAACATTTCTTCTTTCTCCATTTTCATTGACCTCGTTCCTTTTTTCGAAGACATGGTGATGTTGTTTATAGAATATCCGATGTAAATATCGATTATTTCCGTAATTCTTGAATTTTTCGTTATTAGAGTTCGATTAAAAGGCTTAATTTGGCAATTAAGGAAAAATAGAAAGATTCAACGAAGGTCTCAAAGCGAAAAGCCGTCCGCGGTGTTATTTTTGGCTATCTTGTTTTTTACAAACATTTTTATCTGCAATGATTAGACTAATTTCGTAAAAAAAACATTTTTTTGGCATTTTTTGTGTGTTTGGTTCCACGGGCGTGTCTGCAGACTGGAAAGAGCCATAGAGAGAGTGTGCGTTTTGAGTGACGCAGGTACACATCAAATTTTATTTTGTCAACTTTTTTGATTTTTTGATTATTCTCATCCTTTTTTTCCGTTTACGTTTTGATTTAGGCTGTTCAAGAATCTTTTGTTTAGCGCTTAAAGATGCAGAAGTCGTCATGACTTGAAAACAGGGAAACAAATATTTTTCGAAGTTTTCGAGATTCTATCGAGATTTTTAAAAATCTCACAGAGATTTTTGTTCAAACTGTGATCCGCTTTCAGCTTTCTCTTATTTTTGACTTTGACTCGTTTTGGGATTCCAAAAAAGACATGCTCCGAATTTAAAAAGATTTATTTTCCATGTTTTGCGGCTTTTGAAGGCAAATCTTCTGTTCTCTTCCAAGTTTTTTGCCTTTTGAGGCTCAAGAAACAAGAAAGAAGTCTTAAAAGTGAAACGTTAACTGTTTTGAAGTATTTCAATTGGAATTGAAAGCCATATATCTTTCGTTTTTCTCCTTTCCAGCGACGCCAATCCAACCTCATTGCACCGCAATTATTCATCCATCTCATCAGGTATTCTTCTCGAAAACATGAAAACGAAAAAAAAAAAACGATAGTAGGATCGGCTCTTTTTTCTTCTGCTAGCTGGGCCGATAATGAGCTTTCCGAAGGAACGGAGCGCCGTTTGACGATGCTCCTTTACATGGCGTGGGGGAGGTCTCTCTTTTCAACATCTCTCGAATTTCGCTTCGGCTTTTGCCCTTTCAATTCGCGACTAGATTACCCCTATGCCATGTCTCTGTTTCAATTTTCGCGCCCTTTTCGTTGAATTTTTGGAATTTTCGGGTTTCTTATCTTAAATCAAGCTTCGTATGGTTCAGAATGACTTAACTGGTAGATTTGCCACATTTTGTCTTGAATTTTAATTTTTTAAGATTTCGAAAATCCTCTCTTTTACTTGCAAACATTACCTATTCAACATTTTCTTGAATCCTTTTTGAAATTTTTTGATTTTATCATCCTCAAATTCATCTTGTATAGTTCAGAGTCTTCTTACTGATAGATCTGCAAAGAGTTATTTCGAATTTAAAATTTTTTTGTTTTTTTCAGAAATCTTTCATTTATACTCGCCCGTAATAACTTTTTGTCAAATTTAACAATCTTAAGAGCTTGAATTTCAAAACTTCGGGAAACTGATCGATTTCATGCCGATTCTCACTGTTTATTCAAGCCACGCCTGTTTTTCTCGCGCACTTAACATGAAGCTATCGATATAAAACGTTTTTTTAAACTGATAATTTAGAGTTTTTTTGTAACTTTATAAAAAAATATTCGCTTCTTGAAGCTTATCTAAATGATTTAAAACGAGTTTGAAGGCGAAAAAGCTCGAAATGCTTTCACTGATAAGCGAATCGTGTATGCTTTTAGTGTTGAGGAATGATTTAAATTGAATATTCCATGCTATATTAGCACCATAATTAATTTTCTATGTTGAGAAACATTTTTTTTTCAGGATTTTCAAAAATGTTCAAAGGTATTGGATGCTCCTGAACACCCAAAATGAGATTTATATCTTTTTGATGCTCCTCAAAAATCCCAAAAGCTCCTTCTCGCTTTTTTCAGAAAGTCTAACCTCTTGAGGATTTTAGTAATTCACTTTTCGAACTCATTTTACGTTTTTTTTTCTCAAAAAAATTTTAAATTCTCAATATATAGTTTCCAACAAAAAGTTCTGAAAAGGCGTCAGTAAGCTTTATTTTTCATGTTCTTTTGCATGTCTTCTCGTTCAAGCTTTCTAAAAACTCATAACTCTTTTTGAATCTCTGACGAATTTTCAACATCTGTCCCGCTCCGTTTCTTTTCTTCACTTTTTCCCCTTCCGACCAAACATTACACATTCAAACTTCCTGTGAGAGATTTTTCGTCCTGATCATCATTCATTTTTTTTTCTGAGCTGTTTTCTCATTTTCCGTTTGAAATTGATCGTTCAATGGAATTGAGACCTTTTTTCGGTGTGGTTAAAACTTCAATTTCACGCTTCGCCAGCCTTTAATCTTCTTTTTCTTTAGAATTGAAGGTTATAGGAATCTTCACGTTTTTATTATGCAAAACATGTTTTTGATTTCGAAAATTGTCGTTGCGAAATAGCTCAATATGGGGAAATTTCGCGTGGTTTCGGGACTAGAAGAAATATTTGGAGATTAATCAAGCATTTTCTTCTATAGATAATTTAGAACGTGAAAAAAAGAATATTTTAAGACTCGAATTTGCGGAATGGAATGGAATTTCTAGGTTTTTCGTTTATAAAAAAACGAAGCTTCTTCCTAATTTTTTTCCGATTTTTTTAAGATTGAAAAATCGATAAATTAGAGAAGAAATGTTCCGAAAAAAATGAATATAATGAGGATCTTCTGTGAAAGAAAAAAATGGAAAAACTTTATTTATTCTTTGATTCGTTCAAAAATTTACATGCTTTTTGCTCATTTTTTTCTCAATAATTTATATTGAAAATCAACAGATTCGATGCGAAAAGCTAAAAAAAAAAACTTATTCTGCGGTTTTAAACATCTTTTGTATAGTAAGACATGAAGAAAGTAGGTTCATTTTTCAATCTGTTGAAAAAAAAATTTAAGTTAATGAAAAAATCAAAGCTTCTAGTCAAATTATTTCAACATTTAATGTTGAACATCGACAAGTTTGATACGTGCAGCTGAAAAAAGCTTTATTTTGGGTCTATGAACATCTTTTGCATAGTGAAAACATGGAAAACTCTTTTTATCCTTCAATTCGCTCGAAACTTTCAAGCTTCTCTCCTTATTTTATCACTATTTCAGGTTGAAAATCAACAAATGGGCGATTTGAGCTGAGGAAAGTAGGATAGAATCGAAAAAGAGCCGCGTGGAAAAAGAAAGGAAAAAAAGCGGAGGAAAAGAAAATATCGACACAGACACAGGCTGTGGGACATTGGAGAATATGGTGGGCCATTCGCTTGCCCGGAGACCTTGGGCAGAAGCTGCGGGGAGCGCGTTTGCCGTCGCCTCCGCGCTGCCGACCTCCATGAACAGCGCCCAGATCGCCCAGCTTTTCGATGAGGTTCCGTCTCGATTTCTATTCATTTTCATGAAACTGCTTCTCCGATAAAAAAACAGTGAAAAACTGAAAAAAAGTTTTATAATTTTTTTGTAAAAATGTGTTTTTTCTCTTGTTTCTTCTTGTTATTTTTGTAATAAAATGTGCTTTCTATAATAAAAAAACTACAAACAGAGCTTTTTCATACAACAAATAAGCAAAAAAAGTAAAAAAACCATGTAAAGATTAGAAAAACACTAGCTATTCCCGTTCCTCTGAAAATCTGCATTTTTCTTCGATAATTCAAAAAACTTTTAAACTTTGGCAATTTCGTATATTTTTTTAAATATTGATTCAAAAAAATTTTTTTTCTGGCTAGTTTAAAGAGTTAATTTTGAAATTCATCGTAATAAAATAAGACATTAAGCAGTCACTTAATTGACTTCTCAGTATTTCTCTCAACAAAAAATTATCCGGTCGATTCAGAAAAAAATTGAAAAATTAATCGGTAAATTTTAAAAATTTCAAACTGTATGTTTTTATTTTGTGTTTATGTATGTATTAAAGAAAAAAACTATCTTAAAAAAATTTAGTTTTTTTTCTGAGTTTTATTACTATTAAAAAGTTTTGAACTGATAAATTCATCAAAAAAATCCATTAGTTTTCAAATTTTCAATAAATTCAGGTTGAAAAAGGGATCAGCGATTTGCAATTCGCGTTGACGGCGGATGCGTCAGCCTTCCGAAACGCTGTAAGTTTTGTTGAAATCAACGTTTTTGAGAAGAAAAGATCAGTCATTTTGCAAGGAAAAAACGAACGATGAACCCAACAAAAATAGAAAAAGAATGAGGCGAAAAAAGTTGGGAAGAAAGACAAGAGAAAACCGGTTCCTAAACACGCAAAAGTGGCGGCAAACGTCGTTCTTTAAACTTTGAATTTTTTTCTTTTTTCGATCTGATGATTAAAAATAAGTGGAAAAAGTTGTTTTCAGATAGTTTTCTGGGTGTTTTTTTGATCCGAGAATGATCCCTTTTTTTCATATAATTTTTTTGAAAGATCGAAGTATTTTTTGTTTTTTTTGAAAAATACGGCGATTCTGTGATGATTTTGTGAATAAAGCTGGATGAAAAAAAAAAAAATTAGAAACGAAGGAAAAAAAGATTAGAAAAAAAGCAGGTTTTTTTACATGCAAAACTGGTGGAAAACGTCGTTCTTCAATTTATTATTTTGTTGATTCGAAAAATCAAAGTTCAAGGTTATTTTTATGGATGTTTTTAACCCTGGAATGACTTCTTTTTCATATGTTTTATTTTTTTCGAAAATCGAAGCTGAAAAAAACGGAGACTCTTTTTCTGATTCAAATTATGTTCTAAATAAGCGAAACAATTATTTTAGATCATTTTTCGGGTGTTTTTGGTCCTCGATTCAACCTTTAATGACCTCTTCTCCATATGTTTTTCTTAAAAAGCGATAAAATTATTCACAGAGCGGCGAATCTTTGCTGATCGTCGCCGCCCGTGTTAACAATGAACGTGTCGCCAAGCAACTCGTCGTTCTTGACCCCGACGCCATCGACGAAACCGATAACGTTCGCTTTTTACAGATTCTCCATTAAATCTATGAGGAAGAATTGAAAATTAAACGTTTTCTGTTCGAAAAAAATTTGATTGGGAGAAAGTTAAAAAAATAGTTTTTTTAAACTATTATCTGTATAACCACAATATTTAACATATATTTATCAATTTGAGGCTATAAAAAAACGGAAAAAAAGGTCGAATATTTCCAAAAAGACGCTTTTATCAGGAAAATTCGAAAAAGAGATAGTTTATTTTTTTGGTAGAGATATTTTCAGTTGAAAAATCTAGAAGAATTTTGCTTTAATTTTCAAAAACCAGAGTTTTATAATTTTGCCCTACATTTAGCTTTCTTCTAACATTTTTGCTGAAGAAAAACACATTTTTACTTTTTATTTACCTAATATTTACCTTAAACTTACCTTAAAGTCCCTAATTTTTCTTTTCTTGCTCTTTTTTTTCTATTTTCTGAATGAAATCGCTTCAGGAAGGCTGGAGCTCCTTGTTAAATTGCTCCCAATACGGCCACATTTCAATCCTTCGAACCCTGCTCGAGAACGGCGCCGCTGTTGATCAACCTGATTTGGTTTGAAAAAAACCATTTTGAAGGGAAAAAAATTGGATTTTCAGTTAGGATGGAGCCCTTTGATGTGGGCCGTGTACAAGAATCACGGCGAAGCCGTCGATTATTTGTTGAATTACAAGGTTTGGAAGATTTTTTATAAGAAAAGGTCGTCAGAGAACGCTGGAAAAGAGTTTGAAAAATTTAGAGATCTTTTAAGAAAAAGTAAAACCATAGGCAAAGTCGGACAGGGTCAAAAAAGGCTCCATAGGAATGTTCATTTTAAGGCGAAAACGGCTCCTATTTTGCTTTCTTTTTGCGCCAACTTATCGGCTATGCACCATTTTTGCTGCCTCTCCCTTTTTCCACCATTTCTTGACCCTTTAAAATCCCAGCAAAAATGGAAGGCTCGATGAAGGAACTCTTTTTGCTGCCTTTTTGCAGCTTTTTTGCAGCCTTCTTCGAGCCTCTACCTTCTAGCGGTCATTATCCACCGTTCCGACTTTTCCTTATAACGATAGAACAGTTGAAAAATACTTTAATGCTGTTGTTTTTTCTCCGAAATATCTGAATTAGTGGAAAATCAGAAGGGGAACTATAAATCGAGGAATTGAAACACATTTTCAGGAGGTTTCAGCGTGAAAAATTAATTTTTTTGCTCCTTTCATGTCTTTTTTTCTACGTGAATTTCGAGTAAATATGTTTTTTTAAACTTTCTTTTTGACAATATTTAACTAACAGTCCGCACTTTTCAAGGTAAAAAAATTTCTGATAGAAATCTGAAAAAAAGACTTGAGAATGTTACTTTCAACTAGTTTTTTTGATTGAAAAAAACACGATTTTAATTTTTCTTGTCCCAAAAATTTTTTTAAATCAGAGATTAACAGTTACAGCTTCCTTTGGAATTTATATTTTTCGAGTTTTTTTGACATTTTTTTTCTATCTTTGTTCGAAATTTATGCAGTTATATAGCATTGGAGGGCAAATCCTTCTTATTTTTGTCTTTCAAAATGTTTTTTATAAGCTTCTCAACTTTTTCCGTGAAATATGGTTTTTTTCCTTGAGAATTTTCAAGAATTGGCCCTTTAAAGTTCTAATTTTACAAAAAAAGTTTTTCATTTCTGTTCCTTTCGAAACCTTATCTAATGAAAAAACTCTTCAATATCGAAAAAATCATCAATTTTTCCAGGCCCATGTAAATTTAATAGACGAAGAGGACGGCTTGACGCCGTTGATAGTCGCCTCCGGCCGAGGATTCGCCGGAATCGTTGAAAAACTCATCGATGCTGACTGTCAGGTGCTTTTTAGGGGGCTTTCAGTGTTCTAGAGGCTGTTTATCTATGATTTTTTTTTCTTGATTTTAGCGATTTTTTTGTGAGATAATATGTAGTTCTGTAATGAAAAGTTTGCATATACTTGGTTTTAGGATAAATTTTGGGACTTTTGTTTTATTTTTTTCAGGCTTTTTCATTGGTTTAGTCTCGTTTTCATGGATTTTTTTAATGAAAAATTGTAGTTCTGTGATAGAAACTTTCACACATATGACGATTGTATAATAATTCTCGGGGTTTTCTGATTTGATATTTGGGCTATATTAATAATTTTGTCTTTTTCTTGGATTTTTGTGTGAAAAATTGTATCTCTGTAATAGAAAACTTTACACATAGACGTTTGTATAATGATTCTCGGGGCTTTGAGATTGGATTTTAAGACTTTTAAGGTGTTTCTCAAAGCTAGTTGTGAACTAAAAAAACGGATTTTTTTCGAAAATGAAATTTTAAAACTTTAAGAAATCCTTTCAGTTCACATTTTTTTTCCATGTGAATCAACCTAATAAACCCCTAAAAATCCATCATTTTCCTTCATTTTAATCAAATTTATATCCAGATCAACGCCTGTGACAAGTTCGGAAGTACGGCCCTGATTTGGGCGGCCAGAAAAGGACATTTGCCAGTCGCCCAGATGCTTTTGAATGCCGGCGCCGAGGTTGACGCGGTTGGAATGGTGGGATTTTTGGATTTTTTCCAGATTCTGTCTTGTTTTGTGCTGTTTCATGTAATGTCCCAGATAGAATTCAAAGAAAAAGTCTTGAAAACGATTTTTGAGAAAGAAAAAAAGCTTAAAGATTTTTTCAGGAATCACAGTAGGAAACCTAACTTATAGCAGTTTTTGGATTTCATGAATGGAATTTCATTGAGCTCATTTTTTCTCATTTTCTTTCATAAGTAAGGCTCATTTTAAACGGAATTTTAGACTTTTTCGAAATATTTGTGTTTTTTTTTGTGGAAATAGCCTTTTTCCAACTACCAATTTGACACATTTCTGTTATTTTACATGGTATCAACCATTAAAATGGACGACTTGCTTTAGAAAAAAAATAATTCACCTTAGCGTTTCTGCTGTCATTTTACAGCACCGCCCGAAAATTCACAAAATAATTTTTTGCTCAAAACTTCCTTTGGAGCTCAATCTTTTTCAAATTCTATAAAGCAGCTTTACTTTTTCCTGCAATCCAAAGTTCCTCCAGAGTGTTGAAAATAACTCCAGAAGGTTTCAGAGAAATTGAACTCGATACAAAAAAGTTCTGATCAAAAACCGTTTTTTCGTGTCTTTTCAGACGGAACTGTAGAAGAGGAAAACATATTTTCATGATTTTTTTCTTCGAAAAGGAATTTTTCTTCAGCACCCGACTGCTGAATGTGTTCAAGGTTTTTTTTTTAGGATTTTATCGATTTTTTTGAATATTCAACTTCTTTAGCTGTCAGGAAACTTTGAAACTTTGAAACTTTATTCAGTCTTCAGAGAAGGTACTCTGCTGAATCATGGAATAATTGAAGAGTTGTTCGTCGGTTTGCGAAACTGTCGTTGATCAAACGTAGACGGCGCGTAGAGCATCTCGTCTTTCTTGTGATAGTAGTAGACGTTTTTCGAGCGTTTCCGACGATTACTGCTTCTCCATGTAGGAACAGTAGGGCGCCCAGCTTGTCCAGGGCTGACGGACGTCGGATTAAATCTCAGACGAGAGCGGAAATGAAAACCGACCACTCGGGTGGTAGAAATGAGATGATAGAAATGAGATAATAGCTGTCAGGAAACTTTCAATACCATCTTTTTAGTGAGTATTCAATTCTTAAAAAAAATAATTTTTGTCATATTCCAGTACTCATCCACGGCCCTGATGCTAGCGGCTCGGGGGAATTTCCTGCCCGTCGTTGATCTTCTCCTGACCAGAATGCCCAATGTCAACGTTGTCGATTCAGTAAAACCCGCCTGAAAGTTCAGAATTTCAAAGAAAAAAAAAATTCAGAACGGCCTTTCGGCGCTTGGAATGGCGGCTAGGGAAGGTTACGCGGACATTTGCGAGTCTTTACTGAATTCCGGCGCTTTTGTAAACCAATCTGACAAGTTTTCTGATGGGATGTATACAATTCAATGCATTTTCGGTTTTTAAAGGTATGGAAATTGGATTTTGACGTCGGCTGTCCGAAGCGGCAACGCAATGATCGTCAGGATGCTCCTCGACAAGTTCGCCGATGTCAATTGCCAGGATTCGGTGATTTTTTCGAGTTTCGAGGTGTTGGAGATGAGCAAAACTTTTCGATACGTGTTCAAAAAAGAGCAGGAAACCTTTGTGACTTCCTCATTTATCTCAAAATTTGAAAAATATCTTATGATTGAGCAGAAAAAAACCAGTTTCAGCCAATGGTTGATTGAAAAAAAGGGATGCTAGGGATGATTGAAATTTTAAAAAAAAATCTATAAAAAAATGAGCTGAAAAACTTTATGTATTATTTCTTAGAGTTTGAAATTTTTCTAGTTTATATTTAGAAAAGAAGAAATATTTCATTTTTGAGAAGGAAATAGGGAATTTCAATCAATAATTGGTTAAACGAGGGGCGCCGTAGCGCAACGGGTTGTGTGCCTGTCTACGGTCCACAGGGTCACAAGTTCGATCCCCGCCCCGACCCAACCAAGGGGTTTAAGAAATGTTGGTAGTGGGAAACCACGGCTTCAAAATCCCCAGCCGTCATACACAAGGACGGATATGTCACTCGAGCCAGTCCATTGATTATCACTGATATCAGGATAAGACTTTGTCTAATCGAGCTGGGGCATCGACGCCGTTCAAACGGTACAAAGGCGTAGAAGAAGAAGAAAGAAGAATAGGTTAAACGAGGGATGTTAGGATTAACAAAACTATGAATAAAAAAATATAAAAAAATGAGCAGAAGATTTTTTTATCATTTGGACTTCTTTTTTTAAATCTTCCTAGTTTAAACTGTGCAAAATGAGGAGTCTCGTAATCTTGAGCAGGAAAAAGCCTTTTTTTGCCATTATTTTTGAAAAAAAGCTGGACCTTTTTTTCAGTTAAATTTATAAAGTTTACTCAGCATTATTATTTTTTTTCGAATCATGAGACTTTTTCTGAGTTGATTACGTTAAGAGTGCCCTAAAAAAATATGTTTAGTTCCAAACTAAACTTTGAAGTTTTTCGTGAAAGTTTCGAGAAATTTTTGAAAGAAATATATCCATTTTCTCATGATTTTGTAAAAATTTTTCCTCTTTTTTTTTAATTACATTCATTTTTTTCCTTCAGGATAAACGAACCCCGCTACATTTGGCTATCGATAAGGCTTTCAACGATATCGCCTACATTTTGTTAGAGAAAAAGCCGAATTTGGAGTTGAAGAACAAGGTTTGGATCATTGAAAAGTCGATAAATAAGTTAGGATTTTTGAGCTGGATCTGTAAAATTGGAACAGTAGAAATAGTAGAAAAGTAAGAAAACAACTTTGTTTTTTTGGCTCACTTCTGTGAAAATTGTTAGTGACCACTTTAGGGTTTTTTTACCTTTAAGTGTCCACTATAGTAGTCAAATAAGGGGCCACTTAAGTGGAATACTCTTTAGAAGTATAATTGTTACCACTAGGTCACTAAAACTACTATAGTGGCCACTAAGACGCAAAGAAGTGGCTTATATAGAGGTGGTTTTAGTGACCACTCCAGTGTCCTCTTCAAGTAGCCCTTCAGAAACCTCTTAAGTGGCCGCTAGAGCTTTCCCAGTTTGCTGAAAAATATCTGTTGTCCAGCATCTTGCTTAGTATAACACATCCTACGATGAAAGTACTGAAAATAGATTCCTGATGTCACTTTCAGGACGGAGAAACGCCCCTCATTCGAGCCGCGAAATGCCGACACGTTCATTTATGCACATATTTGATCTCCGCGGGCGCGAAACTTGCCGCGACGGACAATATGGGCGACAACGCGTTGCACATCGCGGTCAGAGCCCGGAGTCGAAGATTAACCCAGGCCCTCCTTTGTGAGAAAATACGAAAAACCGCAAAAAGATGATGTTCCAGCCAACCCCTCGGACTCCCGGTTACTCTACCGACCGAACAAGTTGGGCCAAACGCCGTATTCCATCGACGTGTCGAACCCGCAGCCGATCCTGTCGCTGATCCATGGCCCCATCGACGCCGAGGAGAAAATGGACTCCGTCATGGGCTACGATGTCTACGCCAACGTTTTGGCCGACATTTGTGAGGATTTCAGAGAGATATGGTTCATCCACCGCTTTCAGGAGATAATTTTGGAGAATTTTTTCATGATTAGCGAGACAGTGGGAAAAAAGAGGTTGAGACGATTATGTAGTACTTTTCATCCTTTTACATTTGTGAAAGGGGTATATTTTTGTAAATTTTGAATTTTTCTGCATATGACAACGTTTTGGCGAGCATTCGTGAGAGTTTCAGAGAAATTTAGTTCATCTACCGCTTTCTAGAGATAATTTTGAGACATCAGCCAGAGATTGTGAAAAAAGAAGAGGTTTAGACGACTAAGTAGCGGTTTTGGCGGGTTTTAGAGAAATATAGTTCATTAAACTTCCTTCTAGACATAATAGTTTGCGAGATCTCACACGAATAGCTAGAGAGTGTGTAAAAAGAGTAGGTTTAGACGTCTGTTTGGTTTTTTTTCTCTAGCTGATCGTCAATGAAGTCAATAGATTTTCAAACCATACTTTTAAATATTTCGAAGTTGTTTTCTGATAAGAATTTCGACGTTCTGACGGAAATTGGTAAAGGTTCGAAGAAAAAAATCAGTAAGAAATGAAAAAATTTAAATTAAATGGTTCTGTGTGTAGTTTGCTCACTACTGACTAGAGAAGTGCGCAGAAAAATGGGTTTTTTGGATTTTCGGGGTACTTTTTGACAAGATTTCTATGATTTTTCTTAGGATCATCTCCTAAAAAACCTCTCCTAGTAAGCTTCAATTTTTTTCGCGAAAATCTTCTCGCAAATAACAAAGTGCTCAGAAAAAAACTGAATTTGAGCTTCCAAAGGATTGATATAATTTAAAAAAAGATATATTCCAGTATGTGAACCATCGCTCTCACTGCCTCTAACAGTCGGTTTGTACGCGAAATGGGGTTCCGGAAAATCGGCACTTTTGTCGAAACTCAAAGAAGCGATGCGGTGTTTCTCGCGAGAATGGCTTGAGGGCGTTTCTTTGAGGTGGAAAGACACCAAAAGTTCCTTTTTTCATGTACATTTTGTAGGTTATCATTCACGGCTTTTGCTGGAATTTTCCTCACCACAATGATGATTACCCTGGTTTTGACGACCTTAAGTGCACTATCCAGAAATATTCACCTTTATATCGGCCTTTGGATCGCTGGAATCGTCTTTTATTGCATTATCGTTTTAGCTCTTTGTAAGATTTTTAAATTCGAATCGAATTTAGAGTTCATTTTTAGCTTTGTTATATTATGGTGATCGGAAAGGTTGGCCCGGCTCGATGGATGTGAGTTTTTTTGAGGCGGAAACTACAGATTTTGTACATAATAATGTACATTTTCAGTTAGCCATGAGTGTTGGGCGGTCCTTTTCCCGAATGAGGCTAATTTATAACGTTTTGATGCTGAATCCGCCCCTACACTCGGAGACGGATAGCGCCAGTAATCCTGTCAGGTGAATTATTGGGAAGATTAGGAATATCTGTAGAAAATTGAGTTGGATTTTAAGGGAATTGAAATGGTGGTAAGGTAGAAATGGAAAAAAAGTTGAAAAAGTTTTTTTGTTGTATGGTGTTGTTATAGTTATAATGGTAAAAAAAGTTTTTCAGGAAGAACTTGGAAATTTAAAGATTTTTTTCCAAAGATGAAAAGATTCCAAAAAGGGAAAAATTTTGGCCTGTACTATAGATCGTTTAGTCATATTTTTAAATCGAGAATTTTTTTAAAAATAATATTAGGGCCAAAGAACATTTTCAACTGAAAAAAACGATCACTTGACTTTTTTTGAATTTTTCGTTTCATTGGTCCCTTTTTTCCATGTATTGATTTCTAGTGTATCTTAATTTATTTTCCCGATTTTTTTCGAATTGGAATGCTTAAAGTTCCTATGCCTAATTAAAGAATATCGAAATTTAAAAAGAGAAAAAAATGAAAAAGGACGATTTTTTTAGTGACCATTGGTCGCCAATTTTTCACATACTAAAAATTATTTTTGCCCTTTTTTTGCAGTTTTCTATTTGCCGATTACCATCGTCTATCGTCGATTGGTGGCGAACAAGCATTGGCGAAAATTGTAGCGACGCTTTTCGAAGCGGCCGAAACGCATTTTGGCGTTTTGCCAGTTCGTCTCTTTTGTCTCATGCGATCACCTTATCGTAGGTTTTTTTCTGATATATCTTGTGGGAAGCTATAAAATTGGCTGAAAAGAATAGACTGCACCGAGAGATCAACTACGGCCTGAAGAGACGCCAGAGAACAAGAGTTTTTTAGCGTCTCTGGCGTCTCTTCAGTTGTCGCTGCTCTCTCGTTTTTGCTCATGTCAAACTGAAAAAGCAGTAGTGAGAGATCAACTACGGCCTGAAGAGATGCCAGAGAAAGAGAGCTTTCTTAGCTTCTCTGGCGTCTCTTCTGCTACGAGCCTTCTCTCTTTCTTTTTTTTTCAAATTGGCGCTTTTTTAAGTTAAACTACTCGGAAAGTAAAAGCGAGAGATCGATTGAGACCTAAAGAGACGCCAGAGGAGAAAGAGAGTTTCCTAGCTTCTCTAGCCTCTCTGCAGCTACTCGCTCTCTAGCTTTATTTGTTTATAATATGCGATTCTCTGGCGTCTCTTCAAATCTATCGCTATTTCTCGAATTCCCCTCAATTTCTTCCTTTTTTAGATTTCCTTGATCAAGAATATTCGCCGTTTTTAAGGCAGACACGCCGTAATTTTTACCAATATTCAGGTCATTAACCAGAAAAATTCTTTTGTTATGCTCTTTGATTCAACTTTTGACTGTTGTGGAGTGTTTTGTAAGGAAAATGCTTTTTTTCGATAACCTTTTTTTTTTGAAACTTGGCTCGCAATGCTTTGGTGATTATGCATGATTTGATGTGACCGAGAGGGCTTAAAATATTTTTTTTATTTCAATTTTCCGATCAGATATATTTTAAGATCACCCGAAAAATACCAAAATCTAGATAGTACAATGAATAAAGAGAGTTCAGGCATGTGAAGGTATATGGTGCGTCAGAGCGTCTTTCCTTGGGCGTGTTTTAGTTAAGGATGAATCAAGGCTAAAAGGAATATCAAGAACCTTTTTCGAAGTTTTTGGCAAAATTGAAAACTTCAGCCCCTCGGTACCACATTTTGATTGCGATTTTTTGTCCTGTCATTTTTTCAAACTCAAAATTCAAAAAATTTCCATGATTTAATTTTTAGCCGGCACCCACAAGTCGTATCGACGGTTCTGTGGAATCCCCTACATTTTTCCGGTCGGATTTTGTGCCTTGCTGGTTTTCGCTCAGTTCGGCTTCATCACGGCGTTTTTGTTCTCGGATAGGGCTCTGAATGCGTTAGTTTTAGGGGTTTAGTCAGGAAAAATACCCCATTTGGAATGGCTCAGGACTTGTTTTGAAGTGCACCCGATCAAAAAACGGCTTGCGTTTTCGGGTTGTCACCATTTGAAGTTTGCGTTTTGAACTTTCTATATGAAGTTGCGCGACGCGTTGAGCCATTCCAAATGTGGTTTTATCGTGAAAAGGACCGCGTTTGGAATGACTTAGCGCGCAGCGGCGGTTTTGAATGTGCACCCGACCGCAAAACGGGTTGCGCCAATGATTGACACGATGAATGAGTTTCGAAGTTCCAATCCACGCGGCACATTCAGCCATTCCAAATGCGAGCAGTGGAGAATAAAGTATATGTTTTCCTTTCAGTTGGGCACTTTTATCGATCGTGCTTGGGACTTCTCTGGCTGTCATGTTGGCGTATCCGATTTCTGCCGGCCTGAGGTTTTTTTTGACACTTTTTTTCTAGTTTTGAAGTTTTTTGTGTACATTTCTAGCATGTACTGGATGTCACAAAAAGTAACGTTTTTTTCAGATATTCCTGGTCGAATGTCCCAAGGCGACGGGTCAATGCTGCGGCCAGGATGACTCATAAGCTTCGATTCGAAGGTCTCATGCAGAAAATGCAGGCCGAGGTCTAGATTTTTAGGATTTCCAGAAAAAGTACGTACATTTTTAGGTTGATCTACTGGCGGATTTGATCCGGTCTCTCGACGCTTTCACTAGAAGTCATACTAGATTGGTGGTCGTTGTGGATGGCCTGGATAATTGCGAACAGGTTCGTCTTGGAGAAAAAAAACCAGATATCTATAGTTTTTGGAAAGAAAGTTTAGAGTGTTAGGAATTGGTGTAGGACTCTGGGATTTTCATCATAAAATGATTGAGCTTGGCTTATTTTCCACGTCAGCGGCTCATGGTGCTTCTACAAAACACAGTAAACGGCCTTGAAAACAAGTTTTTCTAAATATAGTTTATCCACGACTAGCTCGGATTGAAGTTGTTAGGAAAAAGCACACTTTATGGATTTTCACAAAACTCGAGGATTTGAGAGACCGAATAGGTATTGACAAAGTGCAAAAAATGACACAGGAAAAAATAGCCGTCAAAATACGGCTTAAGTGTGCTCTATAGCTAATCATCGAAGTCGGATTAAAGTTGTTTTCAAAAAAACATATATTTTATAGTTTTTCGCAAAGCTTGAGGATTTAAGAGACCTCTTGCAACTAGAGAGTGAGTGAGAGAGTGAAAAAAAGGATAAATTATGAATATAGCTCAAATGTGCTCTATAGCTAATTACCAAATGTGCTCTATAGCTAATCATCGAAGTCGGATTAAAGTTGTTTTGAAAAAAACATATCTTTCATTTTTTTTTCGCAAAGCTCGAGAATTTGAGAGACCTCTTGCAAATAGAGAGTGAGAAGGGGAAAAAAAATGATAAATTATAAATAGCCGCGAAAATATAGCTCAAATGTGCTCTATAGCTAAACGCCGAAAATTTTGTAGACTGAAAATTAAGCCGTATTTTTGAATTTTTATATACCGAAAAATGTTGAAATTTTTAAATATTTCTTTTCACAATTTCTTGAGCCTCAAAACATTATTTCAAGGAACGAATGGTGCAAACTCTGGACGCTTTGGAATTGCTATTCTCGGCACGGAAACACCGACCATTTATCACCATCATCGCCGTTGATCCCCATGTTATCGTCTCGGCCCTCAACCACAACATGCACTCGGCTCTCAGTGGTTTTAATGGACATTTTTGGATCTGAAAACCTGATTTGCTATGATTCAAGGAACGGAACTCACTGGCCACGACTACTTGAAGAATATCGTCAATATGCCTTTCTATCTCCACAATTCTGCTCTCCGGCAGTTGCAATCGAAGTTGAAGGTGGATTTTTTGAACTCGCTTTGAAGTTTAACGAAACTCCAACTATTTTCCGGAATATCCAAGGTTTTACTGATCTATTATTTCTGAAAAATGTTGAGAATAGCCTACCACGGAGTTCGGTCTCTTATGAGAAACTTGAAGAAGCTTAAAAACTTCCAAAAAGATTGTTTTCACAGTCATTAAATTGGAAATTTTCCAGCAAAAACGGGAGTCGATGGCCGATTGGAAGGAACGATTCAGAAGGCAGGACACTTTCCACGGATCTGTCCTTTCCTTGGACGGAAGACAGTCGAGAAAGGTACCGAATGTGCAAAAATGGCTCTGAAAATCGTCTTCGTTCATTTTTATATTCATTTTTTGGTATGGGAAATGTGAAAAATTAATTTTTGCCATTGGAACGACCATCATTAGAGGAAGATTTTGCTCAACTTGGTATTTTTAAAAACCTCGGTTTTTGGGGGACCCGTAGAGAATTGGGCTGATTTATTTTTGCTAGAAACTAAATTTGACCAAAGCTTTGACTTGATTTAAAAACCTTCTCTCTTTTTCTCATTGCTTTAAAATTTCTTGATCTTCTAGAAAACCTCCATTTTCTTGATAAGGTATTCTTAAAAGAAGAGCGTGATTTTCTTGACCTTTTGGTACTAGAAACTCGATTTTTTTAAAAAGCATAGAACTTAAACTATGAACTTTGAGGTTTTCTGAGTGAAATGAAAGTCACCTTTTTTTGGGAACTAGAGAAGTTTAGTTGGAAGTTCACCTAAAAATTGTTTTCAAAAGTTTTTTGAGCAGAGCTTTTTTCAACTCTTCTAACGAAAAACTCAGTCTCAGAAGTCGCAAGTGCCGATGAACGGCGTCGTCGTCGGCACGAGGAACGTCACTGAAGGAATTCTCGGCGAGGACTACTTTTCGAACATGAATCCCAGAGCTATGAGAAGAATCGTCAACGCCTTGACCCTTACCGGACGTCTGATGAGGGCCTTCGAGATCGACTTCTCCTGGATGTCCCTGGGACATTGGGTCTCCTTGTTGGAACAGTGGCCTAGTAGGATGTGCTGGCTGATTGACAGGGCTCTGGAGGTCCATAATAACTCCCTGATGCTTGCTGAGGTAGTTATAGGACCCAGAAAAGTGAAATAGGTGTGTTTTTGAACAGTTGTATCATCAATTGAAAGACCACATTCCAAACGACGAGCTGATCGCCTTGGACAGGAATCCTGACAATTTTGAGGTGGGTTCAGCTTGGGACGCCAAGGGGGCGTGTCCTGTCTGCGCTCTCCACGAGCCAGGCGCTATCTCGTGTATTATCGTGTCAGGACCCTTTTTTCGATGGCTCAGCCGTGAATCAGCTATAAGCCTCATTGTATTTTGGATGAGAGAGTAGAGACACAGACATGAAGGGGTGTCACAAGACGTGTAGAATGACCCTTCGAATAAAAAGTTGAATTTGAGAAGCTTGAAATTGGAATTTCGCGCGCTCATTTTTCTAAAGGGCCTTCGAATTGAATTTAGGTTTTGTAGTAATCTGAATGAAACGAAAAACTTAGTGATCCCTTGAAAATCGTCCCGAAAAAAGAAGGAAAAAAAATACGTCCGAATCTTCCCTCCAAAAAGCGCGGCCTATCCCCTCAAAATGTGCAGCCTATTCCCCCTCCCCCCTTTTTTTTCGTGCGCGAAAGGCTGGGGTGGGATCCAGCCGATGTATGAACTTGATGGATAAACTATTTCAAAAGGCAAAAAATTTCAGGGCTTCCTGGACTCCAAGGGAATCCCAGTTGCTGAGCGATTAACCGTGGGTCATGTCAAGAAATTCGTCCCCTGCTCGAGTAATTTGGATCCCTATTTAAGGAAACTGATCCGAGGTTCTTTCACTGAGAAGGACAATCGATAGAAATCTTTTCGTTCAGAAAAAAGCAAGGGCCTGGTCGACATTGAAGCTTCCATGGGTAGCACTGGAATGGCCATTTCGCCGAGTGCCGCCTTGATTTTCTCGGTAAATCTTGAAAAAAAAGTATTAATTTCTGGTTGATTTGAAGGAAGAGAAGACGTGGGCCGGCATCAGCATTCCTTTGGTCCAAATGAAGCTCGACGCGATCATCGCCATCATTCGGAAACTTCAGATCCCACCGAACCGGGTCGATATGATTACGGAGAAGTTGGTATTGGGGAGAAGTTTGTATAAAAGAAAAAAATATTCTCGAAAAAGGTCGAATAGCCGTTCTAAACATGATTTTTTTCTGTTAACGGGTGATATTTGGGTTCCCAAAATGGGCACACAGATACAGTAGCCGTTTCAGATTTTTGTTTTCGCGCTCTATGGATAAGTTATCCTCAAACTTTTCCTGGAAGGAATGGATTCGTTGAAAAATTTAACCAGAGCTATAACAAAAAATTTCCGTTAAAAAGAGAATATACCTCAAACGGGTCTTCGAATATAGTAGCCGTTCCAAAATTTGATTTTTCCTTTCATAGTTGAATTTTAAGTTTTCCAAAAAGGGTTCTTGGATAGTAGCCGAAATTGGATTTTCTGCTCTATGGATAGGGAAATCTTCCTCACAATTTTTCTGGGAGATATGGCTTTTCCGGAAACTTGAATGAGCACTTTAGAGAGTGAATAAGATGTTCGATACTCAAAAAGAGAATATAACCCCTTAAAAGGGTCTTTGGATACAGTTACCGTTCAAAATTTGGATTTTTCCTCCTATAGTTGAATTTTGGGTTTCCAAAAAGGGTTCTTTGATAGAGTAGCCGTTTTAAAATTGGATTTTGTGCTTTATGGATAAGGAAATCTTCCTCTTTTTTTTTCTGGATGTTAAGACTTTGTCGGATAACAAAATGCTCTATTTTGGGCTTTCTGAATGAAATGTGTGTTATAAAAAGTGAAGTTTTAGGAAATTTCTGGATTTTGAGCCAAACTTTGACAGATTAGACAAGTTGGTTCTTGAAAAAAACCTCCGAAAAAAATTCTTCAGTGAGTTATTCGAAGGGCGATCTGTGGACAAAAAACAGCAGCTAATGCTCAGAACATTAATTTTAGGTGGACAAACTTTTTTTGACATTTAGATTGTGCTTTCAAAGAATCGAAAACATTTTCATCAAACTTTACGATTTTCTCAGATTCACCTCTCTGAACTTGTGTGGATTGGTCCTTGCTTCATGTCCTCTTCAGGAACTCAAAGATACTTTGCAGGTACCTTTTTAACTCATTTTCAATCATTTTTGTTATTTTTCAGCTGCCTCTGGGTGACTGGACGCTTATTCGGCTCCTGGTTGAGACTTTGAAGGCTTTTGGCAATACTCCGCCTGGCTTGAGAGTTGATAATGTTAGAACATTTTTTATGGAAAAAGAGTTGAAGTTTTTTAATCTGTTCAAACTTCGAATATCAAGCCGTGGTTAAAGCTTCGTCCCTTATGGTGCGACAAACCAATCAGAGAGTGCCATCCACAGAGCTTTTTCGAATGACGTCATTATTCTCGACATTCAAAATCTGAACATTTGACTATATACCTGAAAAAAGGAAACCTTGTCAGATTCTAGAACGGGAAGAATTTTTTTACAGAGGAAAGTTCTGACCCTACGGGAAGAAGACGAAGAAGAGGAAATCGAAGAAGCCGCCGAAGCGGTGATGATGAGTGAACGGGAACGAGCGCCGCTTCTTGGGTCGGTCGCCGAGGAGAGGAGGAGAAGGCTCGAAAAATAATGAGACTCTGAAAAGAAGCTGGGAAGTCTTTGTAGAAGCACCATCATGGCCAACGCCAACGACCTGAGTATCGATCACAAGTGGCTGATGGAGAACTTGTCCGGAATGGATTTGAGTGAGTTTGGAGAGCTGTAAAGCTCCTGGTCGCATGTAGAATGGCTAGACGCGTTGCGGTCGCGTAGCGGTTCAGTTTGGGATTTCAGGGCTTGCTTATGAAGCATATATAAATGCGCAAGTCCATTTTGGTCGGGCGAAGCTACTAGGTGAATACCTTGTAGTCGAGCCATTCTCCGTGCGACCAACGGGTTTCAGAATGATTATATACTTTTTTTTAATAGAAATCGTGAAAGCTCACCAAAATTACTGATGCTAAAGTTTTGAGGAAAGCTATTCGGAAAAAATTCCAAACTTGTCTCCAAAGTCCATTCTAGGACACCTTATAGACTCACATTTAATCAAAAAATAAAGTCCTCGAATTATTCAGCCGAGACCGAGGGCGACGTCGACAACGGCATGCACTACTCGCACTTCTCTTCGACGGAAGGACCGATTCCCGTGATCGATGCCGGAATGATGCCGGTCTCCGTGTCCGCGGCCCCGTCGGTCCGATTCGAAGACTCGACCAACGACTTGGAGCAGGACGCTTCCGACGCCGACAGCACGCAGTCAAGGTTCCATACCGATCGTATTTTGGTCAGAAGTGATAGAAATGAAGAAAAATGAGAGGGTACTGAAGAAAAAGGCCCAATCTGGCGCGATAGAAAAGCGATATCGCGCAAAAGTATCGCTCTGTCCTTGAGCGGGTCTCGCAGTTTTCTTGTTTATCTCGCTTAAAAAAATTGATAATTTCCAAAATGCGATGTCGCGCCGAGGAAAACGCAAGAACGGCGCGGCTAAAAAGCACAACTTTCGCGATGTCGTCAATTCACCGCAGTATCGACATCGCTTTTTTAATGGCAGGAATCCTTAGGGGATATTAATCAAATTCATATAATATTTTTAAGCGGACTTGTTTTAGCATCCTCATTTGAATATTCAATCAGTTTCGCTTCAGAACGGCATGAATTATGTTTCAAACTCTAGTGATAGTAATTGAAGCCAAAATGACCCGGAGTTACAAAGGAACACCGTCTCAAAAGAAAAATTTCGAAAAAATGGAACCTTTTATATGTGAGAGCCTGTAACCCGTCTCATGATCGGGCGCACTGTAATTTGGAGCCATTTCAATTTGGTTTTGAGCGCATATTTCGTTTTTTTTTTTTGGCTCATCAACTTATTGCTTCAATTAAGTATCAAACTTAACATTGAAAGTTTTTGTAATTCTGATTTTCAAACCGTTACGACTTTTCAAGATATTTAGAACCTAGAGTGGTCACTCAGAGCCATAGAACTCTAGAGCTTGGACCCTAAAGTGACCATTTGAAGCCCCAAGGTCTATAAAAGATTAAGACAATTCCTGCGAGTTTTTTTTTTTTCGAAAAAATGAATATGAAACCGATTTTTATAGACTGGAAGATTGGCTTTATAAAAAAATTTAAAAATGCATGCCTTAGTTTTTGGTTTCATACACGGAAATAACTTTAAATCAATTTTTAGTTCAAAAATAACATTTCTTGTCAGGTTCGACAGCAAGGAAAATCTGCTCGACAGCCAAAACGACGTCTCCCCGGCCTACAGCCGACAGCAAAGCAACTCGAGGTCCGTTCTTCAGGGGATCGACTTTTCTTAGCCTTCGTCGTTTTTATATATCTTCTTATGTTTTCTTCTATTTTTTCAATTTTGTTATTTTCATCTTGTTAATGTGTCAGTGTTTATAATGACGGTTATTTTCAAATCGCTACCGGTTCAAGATTTTTTTTTAATTCTTTAGAAAAGCATGAGGCTGATTATTCTGGTGCAAGCGCGCTCCACTGAAAATCTTGCATTTTTAGGTTTTTCCTTATTGTAATCGTGTAAATCATCAAGTTTTGTCCATGGAGCGCACATGTACCTTTTTTGATATTTCTTTTTTAGGTATTTCTATTTTCATCTACTACTACCGGTACTTTATTGTATTAGCTTTTTTGAGTTATATTTTATTTTCTGAATTATTATTTTTCAAGGGCCAAATCAAATTTTAAATTTTCTACTGACCCAATTTAGCCATGTCCGTTCATCGTACCGAAATACATCACGATATCGAAAAAAATGAGTCGGTAAGAGAAAAGGAAAGGAGCTTTTCCACGTACACATCGTTGTATTGAAATTGCACTCAATTTAACCCGGTTTTTTTGGCGGTTTGCAGAGGTTTTTTTCTGGTGTGGGATGTGATGAATGGCTCTATTAACTTATTTCGAAAAATATAAAGTATTTGACGTGAAAATTTACTAGTTCATAATTAGCTGTGAGAAGTGAGCCTCAATTTAATTTTTAAGATCATTGGTCTTTTTCTAGCTAGTTGGGAATGGACTATATTTTTAGATTAATTTCATGCTAATAAAATTTGAAGAGATCCCTTAAGAGCAGCAAAAAAAGACAGTTGAGACTGATGATCTTTTTAGAGAATTTCGGAACCTTTTTGAGAATCTTTTGATTTACGAGGCTTTTCTCTCAAAAAGTAGCCGCTTGAGGGTTTCTATATTTGTAATTTTTTTGAAGAATTTGCAGAAGAAGTTTATAACAGCCAAATTGTTAAAAAAATCCGACAAAAAGCCTTTTTTTGACCAATTTTTGAGCTTATTTTTTTATATCATTTCTTAGATATCTCCCTTGAAAGCTAATACCAACAGTGAGAATACGCATAATTAAATAAAACTTCTAATTAAGTTCATTAAATATACTACCCGAAGCATGGAGTGTGCACTATTTACCTTGGATTTGCAGTGTTTGATTGTTTCTCGAAATTTGTTATTTTTTCAACAAGTTTCGAGAATTCCGAGTCCCTCTTATAACTGGAACTTCTTGCTTCATGCAAGAAAATAGACGAGTTGGGGAAGTAATCGAGTCGAGTCTGATCTATCAACAAAACAAATTGTTTTCCTGCAAGCCTAATAAGCACCTGCAAAGGTATAAAGTACGAGTAATGTTCTTTTCCAAGTATTTTCATTCTTTGCGTAGAAAAAGGCTCTGGCGTATATAATTGTGTACGTTTATTCAAGGAAAAGGCAATTTGAGAGCTCGAAATTACGGGTTCATTCGACATTTTCTTCAATTTATTAATTAAAAATGCGAGTCTCGTACGTAGTTTATTAGTGTGTGTGTGTGTTTATCATTCAAACGTGACATAATTAGATGATTCTATGGAAAAGCCGGTAATTGAAAGTACAAAGTAAACGGCATTGAAAACAAGTTTTTCTAAATATAGTTTTTTTACGAATAGCTCGGATTGAAGTTGTTATGAAAAAGCAAATTTTATAGATTTCCGCAAAGCTCGAGGATTTGAGAGACCAAATAGATATTGAGGAAGTGCAAAAAATGACACAGGAAAAAATAGCCGTGAAAATATGGCTCAAGTGTGCTCTACAGCTAATTACCGAAAATGAATCGTTCAGACCTAATTTGAGGCCGTATTTTTAGAAGTTATTATAAGATAGAGAAAACTTTCATTACCTATCACTTCTCACAAGTCGAACTTAAGTTTCAATTTATAAAGGCCGTAATTTTGTTTAGAAATCGTAAATTGTTCTTAAAAATCAGATCAGTCAATTTCAAGTTTTGCCAAGTATACGTTAAAAATGACAGACTCAAAGTTCAAAAATTTCCTATTTTCAAGCTCAATTACAGACCCCAACTCGTCTCCCCGAGAATGTTTTCTAGCAACCTGTTTTTCCAGAAATAGGCATGAAATAGAAAAGTAATCTTTCAGAAGCGAGCTGATGCACGGCCTGCACAACAACGACACGGTGCAGAGCGGCGAGCTCGTTTCCCTGAGCACCAACTCGCTGGTCTCGTCGGAGGACGACGACACCCATCAGCAGACCGTTCAGCGACGCGGCGGCGACGACGACCGCGACGCTCGCGCCCATTTGACGTCACTATTCACTCGCTCCAATGAGCTATAGAAAGCTGACTAGGGACAAAATAGCTGCGAAGGAAACAGCAAGGAGAAAATAGCCGCTCAAAAAAAAAATTATAAGAGAAAATGTGCTCCTCGGCTGATTTTAGAACAGAACTCATACACTTAAAGCGCGGTTTAGTGGTTACTTTAATGGCATCAGTTCACTTTCATAACCACTAAAATGGCTCCAAATAGCCTGTTCTCGCAAGTTCAAGCTCCCAAAATTATTCTCATTCAGAAAAAAAAAAATTAGCCATGGAGCGCAAAAGCTTCTAGAAACTTTTTGTAGACTTCGGATCTGTTTTTGGCATTTCCCGTTAATTGAACGATAATCAAATGATTCTCTCGAAAAATTAGCCATGGAGCACAAAAACTGAACACAAAATTTTTGCGGCTAATTTTTCCAACTACTTTTTTTCTATTTTTGACTCACTAATTTTTTTTTCTTTTCTTTTCTTCACTTGCTATGGGTAGAGTTGTTTGTATTGTACTAAGCTTTAGTTGGAGGCTTTTCAGAGATATTAACTAATTTTTTTATCCAAACTTTAACCTTGAAAAGCTTAGGAAAAACTTATTTTAATTTATTTCTCAAAGAATGGTTTTTTTTTCATACTTTTCTAGGTGTTTTTCTCTCAAATCTGCCAAAAAATGATTGAAACTTTCAGTGCTCATCCGTTTTTTTCCCCAAATTCGGTTCACTTTACTCCTTCTTCTTCAATTTTTCTACGTGTTACGCAGGGTTTTCACTTTTTTTTGTCTCAAAAAAACCAATAGAACCAATAATGTATATATTATACGCACACACAATTTTTTTCTACGGTGATATGTTGATTTCTGAAACTTTTTCTTTGTCTTCAAAACGTGATTTTTTTTCTCAAAAATTTGTATCATAATCCGTTGCAATATCCCACGTGGTAGCACTCACTTAGCCTTGACATTCATTCGATTTTTTTGATTTTTCTAGATTATTAGATTTTTAAGAGATATTAGAACGAATCAAAGATTTTTCTCATCTTCGCTCAACTGATTGCTTTCGACTTCCATGACAGTTCGGAAATAAATTATTTAATTTAATTGGTCTCAGAAAAAAATGCTTCTCAAGTGGAAAGCTTCATGATATCTCCAGGTCCCTAGAAAAAAATCAGAAAAATGATTTCGAAAGAAGTTTACTTATCAAAAAAATTTGAGCAGGAATTGAGGAAAAAAAGTGACCCAAACTGTATACTCAAATATCTGATTGGATTTGTTTGAAATACTTGAAGATTTGAAATTTGAAACTGAAATAAAAAAAGAAACAGAAGATTTCTTTTAAGCTCTGAAAAGTCGACTTTTCCAGGTGACAATCTAAAAACTTTTTTTCGGTTGGTCGGAATCATGATGATTTTTTTTATAGTATTATTGATTTCATAGTGATTTTTTTAGTCTTAAAAACTGTATGATTTTCAGAAAGTCCATCAAAAAACCTTTAAAAATAATAAGATTGATCCCTTAAGTGGTCGCTTATAAAATAATATTTGGGCGCTCTTTTTTTCCTGTATACTGTTTTTTCACATTCATCTCACTAAACAGTCGAATTTCTGTAAAAAAAAAACCAGTTCGAAAAAAAAATTATTAAAAAAAGTTCTCAAAAAGATTCTATATGGTCACATCTCATCTGGTGATCATTCTGTTTCTTAATTTTACTCGAAAAATTCTCCCGAAATTTCTTCTTTCAAAACGAGTTCTTCTGAACCCTTCACACATCTACAACAATGGGCCGGTTCAAATGTTGCAGAAATCTCTTCAAGGTTCCGTTTTTCGCCAAAGTGGCGAAGCTAACGGAGATGCTGATCAAGGCCGAATCATCGTTCCGGTTGTCAGTTCAGTGAATCATCTCACTCCTTCAAAAACGGATACGAATTTGAAAACGCTAACGGGAGAAGGTCATTTGTTTCAATTAGTGCTTGCCGATTTCTCCCAACATTCTTTGATTTATTAGCGTGCAAAACTTTTTTACACAAACTTTACTCCATCTTGTGGTCAAATTTTTCTCCGACTAGAAAATAGAGAATGGTAGATTGGCAAAGGTGAAGCGTTGCGTGTGCGACGCGGCTTTTCTTCGAGAAAATCGAAGTCAAACGCTATTATGGAAAAATTTAGAAAAAAAAAGTTTTCCATTATTTTTATACTTCACTTCGTTCAAAATTTTTTTTAAATCATAAAAAAAATAATAATTCAAAAAAGAAGGCCATTTCACATATAAGGATAGACATTTTAATTTGCGGTTAGGAATTTCTTGAAAATTGGCCTGAACACTCCTTGATATATCAGAAGAAGATCCTGAAAGTTTCATCCTTCAAAAAATCCAGTTTTTGGAGAAGGGCACCTCAAAGTCAGAGAAAAACCCTCTAAATACGTGAAAATAAGCTATTTTGGGCTTCACGAGGGAAGTGTGTGAGGTGAGCATTACAGATCTGGTTCAAACTTCTGTGGTAGGTAGTCCCAGGTATGAGTATTCGAAAACAAAAAGAATTATTTGCTGAGCGCCATAGGATACTGTGGAATAGCCTGTCGAAAATGTACAGGGAAAAGCTCCAAAACGAATTCTCTTTGGGTTTTTTGTGGAGAGAGTTTTTTTCTCGTGTTACTTGTAATATAGTAAATGACAGTAGACGTTTTGTAAATCGAAAAACCGGAGAAAATAGTTTTTTAGCTTTTTCAGTACATCTTCTACAGGCTATTTCTGAGTACTCTATGACGCTTAGCAGATAATTCTTTTTATTTTCGAGTACCCATACCTACGACTGCCTATCGAAGAAGTTCGGACTAGATCTGCGATTTTCACCCCAGACACTATCCTTGTTGTTGAGCCTTTATTTCTCGAAAACTAGAAAGTTTTGCAGTTTTAAACCTTCAGAATCTTCATCTGGTACATGAAGGATTGTTCTGGTCAAGTTTCCGGAAATTCCCAACCCCAATTTAAAATGACCTTCCTTCTCAGCTTTCTTAAACTGAAGCTATAATTTAAGGCTTTGTATTTCCCTACAGCTCCCTTCAATCGCGGCTGATGTCCCTGACGAAACGAAAAAAAAAATCTCATTGAAACTAGCCGATGTCCCTAATAGGAACGTCCGAAACCCTTCCTCGGAACGGTGCAAGACCGCCGTATCATGTCTGAATCTACTTGTAAGTACTCGATTCAAACTGACTGACCCAGTTTTTCTACCTGTTTTGTTGCGTTCGCGCGTTCCGATAGAATTAGCGTTCATTAGATGGGACGTTTCATTAGGGTCATTCGAGAATGAGGCGATGTTGTCCTTGGCTTGAACTTCCGAATAAATAAACAGATTTGGAGATTCATTGATCACGATCGATTTATTTTTGATCCGTAGTAATGGAAAAAGTGATTTCGGAACAAATCTCACAAGGAAGGTAAAACTTTGGAAACTGACTTTCTGGGAAAATTTTTAGTAGCCACTATAGAGGCTCGCCAAGGACTACTTGGAGAGGACACTAAAGTGGCCTCTAAATCCATCTCTATAGTGGCCACTATTTTCCGTTTTACAGGCCACTATAGAGGTTCTCTGTTGAGTGGCCACTTCAGTAGTTTTTCACCCATTTTTTTTCCAGTAAATCTGATATTTTTAAAACAAACATATTGGCTCAGTTATGTTGATCCATTGACCCCTAAAGTAGCTACTAAAAGTTTTACTGGTATAATAGTAGCACTAGACCTCTATAGTGACCACTAATTTTTAACCCCTTAGGTGGCCACTAAAAAGTCAAAACCCTAAGGTGGCCACTAAAAGTTTTCCCAGTTTTGAAAATCTTCTCAAACTATTTTTTGATGTTCCAGATGAAGAACCTATTCCGGAAAAAAATCAGCTCAAAGTCTCAAAATTACCCATTTTACTAGCCTTCGGCTTAAATTATAAGCCCAAAAAATCTTTCTCGGAACAAAAAAAACAATCTACGGTCCAACACAACGACAGAAAGGCTTTTAAAAATAACCTCTACAAATATCTTGTTTTTTGTACTTTCCTACAAATTTTTATAGCTTTCCATGGATTTTAAACCACTTGCTTTTCACAAAAAAGTGTCAAAAATAGTGGCGACTACAAAAATCCTTGTTTTTTGTACCTTTCCCCGACTTTTTTCTTGTTTTCTGATGATTTGCTATTCTAAAATTGGCCACTTTTTTGACGCTTACCTCATAGGTAAATATGAGTCAGACGCTTACGCAATTGGTTTTTTTTCTTCATGCTTCAGTGGGCTTTGCTTCAATTTTAAGGCTTGAAAGCTCATCAGGACTGATAAACGAACTAGGTTTTCAAAAGCGATATTTTTAACCTAATGACAAGGAGAAGTTGAGATTTTGAATGGAAAGCTTGAAATATTTAGTTCTAGAGCGGAATGAGATTCATTGGAAAAATTGGGAAAAAATATTTTTCCAACCCAAAATTGTCCTGTTTTTGCCTACAACTCGAAGTAAATGCTTTAAAGACGCCAAAAATCTTTCTTTCCTGCCCGAAAATCAGTTTTGAGGCATCTTAACCCGACTACAGGCTTAAAAATTCACCTTTTTGGTTTGGACCAGAAAAGGAAAATCAGCCAAGTTGCACTATGTGTCCTCAGAAAGCAACAGTTTTCTCAAAAAAACTCAAGTTCTCAGCATTTTTAAAACCCGCACTCCACAGTCCTCGTAAGAATCTCTGTAACACACCCCTCTATTCAAAATGTTAGACCCATTTTCGTTCCATTATTCGGGACCCTGTCTGACAAGGAGACAAACAAACACAACACAAACCTCAAGTGGCAGCAAAGCACAATTTTCCCGACTTTGTTATGAAAGTCCGTTTTCATATTTTCCCCATTAGTAGTCTCAATCACCAAGAGGAGAGCTTAGGTGGCTTTTTCTTCCGAGCCAGCAATTGATCAGACTTGTTTCGAAAGACATTACGAAATCCAACCAAAATACAAAATCCAAATGGAAGTGGTTACGGTAGCTGAGCTGAGAGAAGAAGG